ACCAGCCAAATCCAACTAAAACCAGCTTGACCAGCCTGGTTTAAACTGGATATAGCTGGTTTTGGCTGGACTCCCAGCTTGGCTAGGCTGGTCAAGGTGGTTTTAGCTGGTCATCTCCCAGCCTGACCAGCTAAGACCAGGCTAGAAATGTCTGGAAACCAGCCTGGAAGTGACCAAAAACCCCTCTAAAACCAGCCTGGTCGACCAGCTAAAACCAGCCAACCAGCCAAGGCTGGTTTAAGCTGGATTTTTCTGCAGAGTTGAAAAATCCAGTTGTCTTAAATTTCAGATGTTCAATATTCAAGTTATGAAATTCTAATTAAGAAGATCAAATTCAAAACAATTTTAATGTAATATAAAAATTCAGAAATATTAAATTACAATTGTCAATAATTCAAATGAACACAATTCATATTCAGATTGTTTTGGCATATCCTTAGCTCCATACTATTGTCAAAATCTCATCAAAACACAACACAAGGCTTTAGAGGACATGTGGAGAAAACTAGTGCTGCACACAGGAGCAGTTTCAGGACGAAAACCCTAACAAATGTTTGAAATACAACATCTGAACAGCTGTGGAAACCTACGGATAGGCGGAATAATCGACATTAGTCTATTGAAATGTTAGAAATTAATGCGTATATAGGTGTAAAGGTCACTTCGCATCACCACATCCCAACCTCAGGTGTGCATTTTTATTTATCCTTTAATATGTTGACGTCCCTTCCCCTCCAACATTATTTATTTGTTACATACCCGTCTTTGATTTCACCCCGAAAATCATTTTACTTCCTGGCGGATATGGCAGATTGCGTTGCATTTACAACAACACACCTCTAGATGGCAGTGTATAATCGGTCATAATATATTTACGTGTAATAGGAGGCTACAACAGTATAAACAGAACTATTTGTGGAAAGTGTTGTGCAAATAAAAATTAAAATTTAAACGCCGTGAACGGTCACAATAAGCAGTTATTTCAGACGACTTGTACACAAGATGACAGAAGAGTGTTTGAACAGCAAGTGTACTTATCAAGTTCAATTTCAGACCTAATTCAGAAAAGAAAAGAAAGAAAATGTGATTTGGGGTGACTCTACATGGAAAAGACTGGTGTAAAAAAAACATTAGAGGCATTAAAAACTTCTCTTTGTAGTATATAATATACAGATGACTCTCACATACCTTGTGATCTATTGATTTGCAATGAAAGTAAAGTCTAATGCTTTTGTTATCATGTCCCACCCTGAGCAAATACAGAAGTGAGGGTGAGTCTGCTACTGTCTGTTTTACTACAACAAAACAACACACACTGAATCATTTACAGAGCCTGTCAGGGTGAAACAGCATGAAAAGAGAATCAGCACATGCAGTAAAGTTCCTCATGAGACATAAACATGGAGTCAAATGATTCTATTGGTCAGTCTCTGAAACCATTGTTTAAATCTTGTTGAAAAGGGCTATCACAAACAATACTACAAATAAATTAAATAGTTGTACCATGTTTTTTGAACATTTTGTACAATATACTGCATGTTTTGCTATGTGAATATTATTTGAAGTTTCTTAGAGCATCCTGTAAAAAAAGACATGATAATGAGAGGGTGTTTATGCCATCATTGGTTGACTGTAAGAAAAATTTAGATTTAGATTTTTTTGACTAGCTTCTCATGGTTTATAGAAACACTCTCATTAGCATGCTGAGCTGAGGAAAAGTAAATACAAAACCATGCTCAAAAATGAATAAAAAGAAAAGAAGAAATCTGCTTCTAGTTTAGCTTTTTTTTTTATTTCCCCAGAATTCGTGTAATTTATAAAGTTATTTATTTGCCCGCTTTATTATTTATGCAGGAATCTGTTGATTTATATATACACTGTGTGTATGTATATATATATATATATATATATATATATATATATATATATATATATATATATATATATATATATATATATATATATATATATATACACCGGCCACTTTATTAGGTACACCTTACTACTGCCAGGTTAAACCCCCTTTTGCCTTCAGAACTGCCTCAATCCTTCATGGCATAAATTCAACAAGCTACTGGAAATATTCCTAAGAGATTTTGCTCCATATTGACATGATAGCATCACAGTTTTTGCAGATTTGTCGGCTGCGCATCTATAATGGAATCTCTCGTTCCATCACATCCCAAACATGCTCTATTGGATTGAGCTCTGGTGACTGTGGAGGCCATTTGAGTACAGTGAACTCATTGTCATGATTAAGAAACCAGTCTGAGATGATTCACGCTTCCTGACATGGTGCGTTATCCTGCTGGAAGTAGCCATCAGAAGATGGAGACACTGTGCTCATAAAGGGCTGTGGCATTGACACAATGCTTAATTGGTACTAATAGACCCAAAGTGTGCCAAGAAAATATTCCCCACACTATTACACCACCACCAACAGCCTGAACCGTTAAGGATCCATTCTTTCATGTTGTTGATGTCATAAGCCCCTTTCACACAGTGATACCAGTAAATATCCGGAAAATTTCCGGAACGACTTTACCGGTAAATTCAAAAAAGCGCTGTTCACACAGGCGAGGAGCTTACAGAATTTTTCCGGAAAAGAGCATTCACACATCCACACACCAAATGCCGGAAAATTCTGACATCATTAACCAGAATTGACCTCTAAACGGCTGTGCTTGTGTTTGTAAACATTTGACTACATTACAAACTCTTCGGATAGATCAGTATTGAGTACAACTCCAATGAAAACATATAGAGGAACACTTTCGCATGTCGAGATGTTCATGATATGTGTGTGTGTTCCTGCTATATATGGGCGCTCACGGGCACACGCAAAGCTTGAAGGTAAACAAACAACGGATTATCATAAACATTTTATCGATAATTATTTACACAGTTGGCATTAAGAAGGAACATAGAAACGTTATCTGACTAACATCTAGCAGCTAAATGTGTCTGGAAAAATATTCAAAGGCTTTTATTCTCATAAACCGCGCGCACGTGAATGCGTCTGCCTGTTCTGATTGGCTAAAGCAGGTGTCTCACGTCAGCATGTTCTAGACGTGGACGCGCTCTTTCCGGCAATCTTCCTTCTGCATTCACACAGCGCAGCATTCCGGCAAATTACCGGTAATGTTACAACTTCTCTTTTCAGAAAATAGCCAGAACGAATTTACCGGTATTTTCAAAAAGGACCTGTTCACACATACAACCTTTCCGGAAAATTGCCGGTAATTTTCCGGAAAGGTCTGTATGTGTGAAAGGGGCTAATGTCTGACCCGACCATCTGAATGTGTCAGCAGAAATGGAGACTCATCAGAGCAGGCAACGTTTCTCCAATCTTCTATTGTCCAGTTTTGGTGAGCCTGTGTGAATTGTAGCCTCAGTTTCCTGTTCTTAGCTGACAGGAGCGGCACACGGTGTGGTCTTCTGCTGCTGTAGTCCATCCGCCTCAAGGTTGGACGTGTTGTGTGTTCAGAGATGCTCTTCTGCAGAGCTCAGTTGTAACGAGTGCTTATTTGAGTTACTGTTGCCTTTCTATCAGCTGGAACCAGTCTGGCCATTCTCCTCTGACATCAACAAGGCATTTGTGCCCACAGAACTGCCGCTCACTGGATATTTCCTTTTTTTAGACCATTTTCTGTAAACCCTAGAGATGGTTGTGCGTGAAAATTCCTGTAGATCAGGAGTTTCTGAAATAATCAGACCAGCTCGTCTGGCACCAACAACCATGCCACATTCAAAGTCTCTTAAATTCCCTTTCTTCCCCATTCTGATGCTCAGTTTGAACTGCAGCAGATCGTCTTGACCTTGCCTAACATGACTAAATGTGGCCAGTGAGTATATATATATATATATATAACCTGATACTGCTCGTTCAACAGACATTTAACTGACTATAAGAAGTACATGTCAACTTACACTAACCCCAACCCAAACCTAACAGTCTACTTATAATCCAATAAGATTCAACAAATGGACCATCAAAATAAAGTGTGACCTGCTTGGTAACTATTTGTCTAAACAATTATAACTAATGGTCACATTTCTTAATTAATATGAACACGTTTGTAAGTATTGATTCATTAATTTACCAGATGTTTGACACTTCACTTTGTTTGACATTCAGCAAATCTCTATGGGACAAACTTATATGTGAAGTTTATTCATAAACTAATTTCGAGAGGAGCACGTGATTATGATTGAACACGGCTGGTTCTGCATTAGCATGCATGATCCACCAATCAGGCCATTCCTAACCACTATAAAGAGCCAGGGTTTTTTCAATACAGTCATCTTCGATTTGAAGAATCCCCCCTTCCACCTCTACCTTTTCACCTTTCCCTCCATAGGGCAGCACGGTGGCTCAGTGACTAGCACTGTCGCCTCATAGCAAGAACGTCACCGGTTCTAGTCCTTTAACAGGCCGGTGGTCGTTTCTGTGTGTAGTTTGCATGTTCTTCCCGTGCTTGCGTTGGTTTTCCCCGTGTCCTCCGGTTTCCTCCAACATTCCAAAAACATGCACAACAAGTAAATTAATAAATCTAAATTTTGCACTACAGTTAATCTCTCACCATGCAGCATATCTTTTCATAGCATTCAATTTTTAGTCATCAGTTTTTATCAAGGGGGAGTTGTCGAGATCTACCTGAGCTCAAGGCTCCCCTCTCGCCCTCCAAACGGGAGGGAGCCCAGGGCTCAAGAACCTTTGAGCTCAGGGCTCTCTCCCGGGACAGCATGCCAAACTTGCTTATAATCAATCATCAGCTAAGTGTGAACTCTTAAATGTGTAATTAATATTCCAGATCCATGCCTTTTCTATAGTATAAATACATTGATCAACTTATTTCATTACTTTGAGCTTTTTGTGTGTGTGTGTGTGTGTGTGTGTGTGTGTGTGTGTGTGTGTGTGTGTGTTGTTGTTGGATTTAGACTGCATTTTACCGTATACGTAAGGTATGAAATGTCAAAAACTAAACAAAAGTCAGTTGTGAGGCATAATCTTTGGTTTATTCATATAAAGATGCAGTCTTCAGCAATTGTGTTTGTATGTTAAACACTGTGAGCTCTGTGCATCTTGTTAAAGAAGCCGTTATTAACGCAATATAAATGAACCTTTTAATGATTAAAAATGTTTAAACAATTCAAAATTAATTCCGTATTTAATTAAATGCACAAAACAAACAATGACTGCATGCACAATCAAATAAATTATAGATAGCAAACCTTCCGTATGCAAAACATATCACGTATGAAGGTAAGTTTGCATTTGACTCTTAAATTTGTGTATTTTATTGCTGCGTGCGAGCAGTGAAGTCAGCCAGGATCCATTTTTTCAGTCTTGTTTTTTGTCTCATGAGTACAGTGTGAGATGCATCCACTACAAAAACAAAGCATTAGTTAATCAGCGGATATGAATAATGAGGTTTAATTCTCATTACATTAATATATAAGTATAAAAGAATTACTTCATTTTCTCCCAGCATCATGTTTGGGCCCCCAGCAGAGAGTCTCTTGAATGTTTCTGGTGATAAAAATAATAGAGTGATTATGCCATTTTCTCCCCGTGGAGTTTGCATGTTCTCCCTGTGTTGGCGTGGGTTTCCTCCACAAGTTCAAAGACATGCGGTGAAGGTGGATTGGGTAGGCTAAATTGACCGTAGTGTATGTGTGTGAATGAGCGTGTGTGGATGTTTCCCAGTGATGGTTGCAGCTGGAAGGGCATCCGCTGCATAAAACATATGCTGGATAATTTGGTGATTCATTTCGCTGTGGCGACCCCTGATTAATAAAGGGACTAAGCCGACAAAAAAATGAATGAATGAATGAATAAATAGTATAATGAATCGTAAAATGAAAAAAAAAATACACACATAATCAATTTAAGTGTTTTGATATAGTTATGGCAGTGTAAGAGGCTGAATTATCATATGCATTTGATTATATGACAAAACATGTCTTTTCGACTCAAGAAGGTCCATACTGACTACCAAGTTAGATACTAATAAGATCTGTTGTGTGGACTTTGGGGGTTTTATGGTGTGGTCACATGTTGATTGGTCAGTTTGAATGTCTTGAATGACTTTAGTCACATGGTCAAAAAATATACAAAATAGGTGGTAAACTCGAGCTCTGTCTCTTTTCCTGCCCTCCTTCTCTCCTGCTCCTCTCCTCTACTCCTCTGGAGTCTATCTTCTCTGACTCTACTGCTATCAGGCTTTTGGGCCAGCTCAATCTGTCTATCTCTCCCTCCCTCTGTGTCTCTCCTTCTACCTCTGGTAACTTTAATTTTACATTTAAGCTGGGTACAATTTATACCATATGTATTATCAGTTCATATTTTATCATTTTATACAGTATTTTGTATTTTGTTATAGAATTATTGTCATTAAATCATCTCATTTTCAAATGTTTGTGAATTACTTTTGATTTAACGTCAACACTTAATTGTTCCATATTGCAATACAATACAATCACATAATATCAACGCTCTCCCACATTTATAGCTATTAACACTGCACTTATTTCCGTTTTTGGTATGAGACTGCAGAAGAATGGTTTGACTAGAAATGTACAGTTTTTTTACCATCATGCTGATCACTTTTTAGTCGCTCGGCAGAACTACAGTTCGAACCGCTGTGGTTTAAAGACCGTTCTTACAGCAGTAAAAATAAATAAATAAAGAAATTAACTTGGGTGCAGACTGGGAACCATAGGGAAATTGTGTTAGCAATTGAAAAGCAACACATATGCATTATTGGATCTTACTTTGATTACATGCACAAGTTATTTTATTATTATGATACACTGTAAAATATATTCTTGCAGGATTATTTTTTTTTAGCTGAATCAAATGAATCTTTCTATTTATTTCAACTTACAGTTGAAGTCAGAATTATTAGCCCCCTGGTTATATTTTCCCAAATTTCTGTTCGACGTAGAGCAGATTTCTAATCATAATAGTTTTAATAACTCATCTCTAATAACTGATTTATGTTATCTTTGCCATGATGACAGCACATAATATTTGACTAGATATTTTTCAAGACACTTCTATACAGCTTAAAGTGACATTTAAAGGCTTAACTAGGTTAATTAGGTTAACTAGTTTGGGTAATTATGATGGTTTGTTTTTTGCTCTCAAGAAAAAATATAGCTTAAAGGGGCTAATAATTGTGACCTTAAAATATATATATTTTTTATTTATTAAAAACTGCTTTTATTCTAGCCAAAATAAAACAGATAAGACTTTCTCCAGAAGAAAAAAATATTATCAGACATACTGTAAAAATTTCCTTGCTCTGTCAAACATCATTTGGGAAATATTTAAAAAAGAAAAGAAAATTCAAAGGGGGTGAATAATTCTGACTTTATCTGTACATCAATATAACTGACTAAAATATGAAGTTTAACTTTGTATACATTGAGTTGAAACCTGATTAACATATTACAATAAGTTAAAGCGAAAATATTTATCGTCCTGACTTTTTTGTCTTTACATTTTTTAAAGTGTAGTTTAATACCATATCCTCAAAATATCTGAACAGTGCTTAATATCATTTACTTTCCCCCCTAAACATTTTGTATTCTCATGTTAACTTACACAAATAATGTAAGTAATCCCATTGTAACTTGGAACTGTTAAGTTGACTTAATTTTTATATGTATGCTTATTGTACTCACTTTTTAAAGTCAACTCATTCTTTTTTGCATGAGTCAGACTATTTTAGCACGTCTGTTTTCAAATAATTACTGTAATTATTACAATTTTACACATTTGGTGCTTCATTAAGCCTATAAAATCAAAACTATAGCCTGTGTTGAATTTGGAAGACACACTGGAGTCTGGAAGAGCAGATTTATTTTACACTCTCAGAAATAAATGTACGTGAGCTGTCACAGGGGTGGCACCGTTTCAAAAGGTACACATTTGTACTTAAAGGCTTCTTATTGGTACCTTAAAAGTTTATATTAGTATCTGAAAATTTTAAGAGGAACACTTTTGTACTTTTTAGGTATACTAGTATGTACCCTTGAGGTATTAATATGGGCCTTTTAGGTACACATTTTCACCATTTAGACAGCCTAATGACAGCTCGCATATCTTTATTCCTGAGAGTGTAGTTACTGTCATTTTGCTAGATAGAGAAAAGTTGTGGAAAAGCAAATATAATAAAGGTGTATTGGTAAAAGTCATTAGTTTACTTTTATTATTTTTTTAAAGTTAGTACAATAAGCATAATTATAAAAACACAGTCAATTTAACAGTTCCAGGTTACAATGGGTTTACTTACATTATTATTGCAAAGACGACTTGTTTCTATTGGGACATTTGGTTTACTTGCTTTAAATAACTAATCACTTTTTACAGTGTTCCAAACATTCAATCATGTTGTCCTAACACAGATTAAGTTCATTCATTCATTTTCTTGTCGGGTTAGTTCCTTTATTAATCTGGGGTCGCCACAGCGGAATGAACCGGCAACTTATCCAGCATGTTTTTATGTAGCGGATGCCCTTCCAGCCGCAACCCATCTCTGGGAAACATCCACACACGCATTCACACATACACTGATACACTACGGACAATTTAGCCTACCCAATTCACCTGTACCGCATGTCTTTGGACTGTGGGGGAAACCGGAGCACCCGGAGGAAACCCACGCGAAAGCAGGGAGAACATGCAAACTCCACACAGAAACGCCAACTGAGCCGAGGTTCGAACCAGCGATGTGGGTTCTTGCTGTGAGATGACAGCACTACCTACTGCGCCACTGCATCACCACTAATTAAGTTACCAAAACAAAATTAGGTGGATTGAAGATAAAAAAAAAATTAGGCTTCCCAAAACAATCTTCAGAATTATGTTGTTAAAGCTTAACTTCAGCAGAAATAGTTAATTTTAAATGTGTATATGAGTTTTATACATTCATTTATTCATTTTCCTTCGGCTTAGTCCCTCATTTATCAGGAGTCGCCACAGCGGAATGAACTGCCAACTACTCCAGCGTATGTTTTTACACAGTGGATGCCTTTCCAGCTGCAACCCAGTACTGGGAAACATCCATACACACTCATTCTCTCACACACACACACACACACACACACACACACACACACACACACACACACACACACACACTACGGTCAATTTAGTTTACCCAATTCACCTATAGGGCATGTGTTTGGACTGTGGGGGAAACCGTAGCACCCGGAGGAAACCCGCGCCAACATAGGGAGAACCCCACACAGAAATGCCAACTGGCCCAGTCGGGACTCAAACCAGCGACCTTCTTCCTGTGAGGTGGCAGTGCTAACCACTGAACCACCGTGCTGCCCACGTTTAGCTTTATAAAAATGCCTCGAAAGTTATATCTTAGATTTAATACTGTGCATCAAGTAGTGTTTTCAGGATATTTTTGCACAAAATATTCGAGAACTGTACTGAATAACCAGCACAAAACAACAGGATAAAGTTAGAGACTCACTGGCCATGCAGTCCATGCGCAGCACGAGCACAATAAAGTTTTCCAGAGAAATTTCCCCATTAGAGTCAGCGTATCGGAGAGCCATGAGATTCAGCATACCGTCACTCAATACAAACCCTGGAAAACAAACAAATCGCCACCATAGAATTATAAGGTTCTATCTGACATTTTTGTCAAAATTGAGTTATAGACACATTCTTATTAAATGACAGCTTATTTACATTATGTGATGTTTTTGTATGAGTTGTTTACATTTTAAGACTTTTTATTTAAAACACAAAAACTACAAAGTTGAATTCTAGATTGGCTCTATAAGGTTCTTTCTGTTAGCCAATCAGCATTTTTAATGCACACAAGGGCCAATCAGGATCAGCTTTCTTTGCCATTTGGCTGGACTGCTCCAATGACAGCGTGAAAGATCAGAAAGACATCCAAGAAATAAATTCAGAGTCTGCAAAATAATGTCCCACTAGACAAAACTGAGGTGTGCGTAAATAAGATGATTTAGAAGCATTTTTGACGTTGAGATGAAATGTTAAATTTTACATTGTTGAAAAAGAAACGAATGTTAAAAAATGTATATATTAAATGTGAAATATTTTTATTTGTATATAGATTTTAAGTGAAACATTTTTCAGTGTTTACTAAACTAAATTGCTTATTTTGCTTTCTTGTAAAGTCTTTAAATTTAATATTAAGCCTTGAAGGGTAAATAATTAATTTAATTCATGGGGCATATAATTCAGTAAATACAATTCAATAGTTCATATAAAGGATAACACACTGTAAAAAATGGCCGTGATTTCAACGGTAAAAAACTGTAAAAATGCGACAGTACAAATCCGTAATCTGGTTAACAGTATGTTTCCTTAATATAATTGGCGAATAACCGTAAATTGACTTTGCCAGAATTCCCTGCATGGCACATCACTTTTTATGCATTTGGTTGACATTAATATGAATTTTTTTAGTTGTTTCCCCATCAGTTATGTACATTAGAGATTTATGTTACATTTGATGTTGATAAACAATGTTTATTTCATGACTTTAATTTTATGTGTGTTACCATACTGGTGTTTAGTAGCTGTGTGAATGACACGGAGCACCTTCTATATGCTGATACTCTTGTCTGCTTGTGGGAAAAGTTGATTGTGATGAGCATTGACTCATTATGTAACTTCCTCATCACCACCTGCATGTGGGTGTGCTAACGTGTCTAACTGTGTAACAAAAGATGTGTAGATGTTGATCATTCAAAATACAGACATATTACCTCTATAAATTAATAAAATACGGTCATTTACTGTAAAAATTAAAAATTACTTTTACGGTTTGTACAGTGTTTTTAACGGTAAAGTACTGGCAACCACAGCTGCCGTTTTTTTACCGTAAATTTTACGTATTTATTTTTTACAGTGCATGTTATAAATATTAACATATTAATTAGATAAAATTAACATCTGCACTGGACAAAATATTTAGCACAGCCTTGTATGCTTTAAAAATATATTATTTTAAGAGTTCACAGTTAGCTCATGATTTATACATAGCTTGTTTGGCATGCTGTCCCAAGAGAGAGCCCTGTGCTCAAGGGATCCTCGAGCCCAGGGCTCCCCCCCTTTTGCAGGGCGAGTGGAGATTGAGCTCAGGTCTATCTCAAACTCCCCCGCTGCTGAGGCCAAGGCGAACTTCCTGAGAGTAAGACATTATAAAAAATTTTTAGGCTTATTTTATCTATAATATAGAGCAAATTTGGATGGTGGGAGGAAACCGGGGAACCCGGAGAAACCCACGCGGACACGGGGAGAACATGCAAACTCCACATATTAATACCAGATGGCTCAACGAGGACCCAACACCATTGGTATTCTTGCTGTGAGGCAACAGTGCTAGTCACTGGGCCACCGTGCCGCCCATTCTGGATAAAGGAGGAAGAAGGGGAGGAGGGGGGTTTCTTCCAGACGAAGATAGTTGTAGAAAGGAAATGAGGATATATAGTGATATGGGATCCTTTGATTGGAGGATCATAATTAGCTAATGTAGACCAGCTGGGTCAATCATGAGCACATGCTCCTCTCGAAATTAGTTTTAAATTAAACTTAAAACATGAAATAAATGTTACAGAAAGCAAAATTTAACTTTCTCAAGCATCAAAATAATGTTACAACACCAAATCATATATTTTTTATTGTATTTCTTGAGAAGTAATGCTTTACTGAATGATCTGCCAGATAGAACCTTATAATTCCAAGCAGAAAATGATTTGTCTACATTCTGCATTTACCATGTTTTTTTGTTTTTTTTACTCTAATTTGTAAACGTAATAGAACTTTGACAGTTTACATTTAGGCTCTCTGACATGTTTATGTAAGAAAGAGAACTGTTACACACAAATTGTTTGTTATATGGAATGCAAAAACGTTAAAGCTCAACATCTCAAAATCATGTAGAACGCAGATAGAACCTTTCAATTCTAAGGTGATGAAACATCAGCACATTCGCTCTAAAATGTAGTACATTAGATCAATGTTTCTCAACTGGTGGGGTCGCGGGAACATTTTCAGTGGGTCGCGGAGTTGGGGAAAAAAAAAAAGTTAAATGTTTTACTTATTTTGCTTATACCGGACTTTTATTTTGAAATGCGTGCGCAACAACCCTACCATTTGACATGTGAAATTTAATTTAATTATTGCCAACAAATATGTCAAAACGCAAGTACGACCCTGAATTGTAAAGTATGGATATATATATTGACAACAAAAAGACTTAAAGCCTCAGTAACCCCTTTCACACATACAGACCTTTCCGGAAAATTGCCGGGCAAAGGTTGTATGTGTGAACAGGTCCTTTTTGAAAATACCGGTAAATTCGTTCTGGCTATTTTCCGGAAAGAGAAGTTGTAACATTACCGGCAATTTGCCGGAATGCTGCGCTGTGTGAATGCAGAAGGAAGATTCCCGTAATAAGCGCGTGCACGTCTAAAACGTGCTGACGTGAGACGTCTGCTTCAGCCAATAACAACAGTCAGACGCATTCACGTCCGCGCGGTTTATGAGAATAAAAGCCTTTGAATATTTTTCCAGACACATTTAGCAGCTAGAAGTTAGTCAGATCACGTTTATATGTTCTTCTTAATGCCAACTGTGTAAATAATCATCGATGAGATGCTTATGATAAGCTGTTGTTTGTTTACCTTCAAGCTTTGCGTGTGCCTGTGAAACAACCTGTGAGCGCCTGCACACGCACATATTTTGAACATCTCGACATGCGAAAGTGATCCTGCGGAAGTTGTTCACAATATTGATCATCCACAGAGTTTGTAATTTAGTCAAATGTTTACAAACACAAGCGCAGCCGTTTAAAGCTCATTTGTGGTGAATGATGTCAGAATTTACCGGTATTTTGGAATGGATGTGTGATGTGTGGATGGAAAATTTCCGTAACGTCCTCGCCTGTGTGAACAGCGCTTTTTTTGAATATACCGGAAAAGTTGTTCCGGAAATTTTCCAGATATTTACCGGTATCACTGTGTGAAAGGGGCTAATGTCATATGTAGTGAGGTGCTCTCATAAGAGAGCATGAAACCTTCTGAATTAAAACAACATTCAAAAACCAGAAAACATGTTTTATTAACAGTTTATTATTAACAGTATTTGTCATTTTTACTTTGTAATATTTCTATAATTTGATTCATTTTGTTAAATGACAGCAATAAAATATTGTTTATTTGTAAGTCTTGGTGAATTTCTTAGGGTTTTTTCTGTCACTACTTGTGTATGTTAACAAATAAATACAAATTAGTTATAATTCCTAAAATTGCATTATAGTTTCTAAAAATTTGGGTCGCGGCTTGATGACCATGTAAAAATGTGGGTACCATGGCCAAACCAGTTGAGAACCCCTGCATTAGATGGTGTTGTAAAACATGACTGTAAGAATTTAGTGAAAATGAGTTACCTGCAACTTTAAGAGCATTTCGGAGTTCATTGACAGAGAGACTTCCAGTGTGTGACACATCCATGTCGTAGAAAATATCCTAAATAACAGGAACACAGACGTAATTGCAACCCATTTGACTTGCACAATATTTGATTAAATATTTATTTTTAGAAAAAGAAGAAAAGGCACTTTAGCTTTTAAAAGACACATTTAATTGGAATTGGATTTTTTTAAATTTAAAATAATCCAATTAAACTTGATTTTTAAAATGGCAAATGGCAATTAAAGATTTTACTAAAAGTGCGCACACTAATGTTTTTCTTTGAATTCTTATTTTTCCTCAAAAGTGTTTTTATTGAACATGTTAGACATGAAACATGCACTACAGATAGTTTTACATTTTTCTCTTTTTTATGGCAACACATATTAGTCCTCCTGAATTATTAGCACCCCTGTATATTTTTCCCCCAATTTCTGTTTAATGGAGAGATGATTTTTCTCAACACATAATAGTTTTAATAACTCATTTCTAATAACTGATATATTTTATCTTAGCCATGATGACAGTCAATAATATTAGACTAGATATTTTTCAAGATACTAGTATTCAGCTTAACTTAGTAGCATAAACACAGAAAAAAGATTAAAATTATACTTAATATGAAAACGATAATTGAAGCTGAATGTATTTCATTCAGTGGATTTAATTTACCTTTAGAAAAACGGCTCGTTTCCACAAACGAAGGCATTCAAATTCACTGAGTCTTCCTGTGACACTGAGCTGAACTGAGCTGTTAAAGAGCAACCTGAAACATTTTCTTCTAATATTTACAAAAGTCAAACAAAATGCAGAAATAAAACCCTTTTGCAACTCAAATCCACCACAGTAGAGGATACATCCATCAGCGCCACCAGACTCTTACACAAATCCACACTGAATCCTGTTGTTTTCTGTGAACGTCCTGAAATATCAGACAATAAACAAACACAGAGCATCAAAAACAGTAGCGTGAGCTTATATTGAGACTTTATACTGAGCTTGAACATCACCTGCATGAAGATTCTCGTTCAGGAGTTTCTGAAGCCGCTCAGCGTCCACTTCACCATACTAATATAATCAGACAATTAGGATTTTAGTTACATAATATTAAGAAATATTATTAATAAACATGTTCTCGTGTGTTTGACCTGTAGTTTGTTTAAAATCTCAAAACTCAGGGCTTCTGGTAGTATCCAGAATAGCAAAGCTCACTAAAGGAGGTCGAGCCTTCTTATATATGGCTCCTAAACTCACGATAATGTCTTCCTGATAATGTCTCAGACACACAGTCTCAGTTCAAAACAAGAATAAAGACCTATTAGTAAAGCATACACACAATGCATCACATAACTTTTGGATGTGGATTCAACTTAAATTGAATTGAATTAAAGTTTGACCTGCATGAAAATTCTCATTCAGAAGTTTCTGAAGCCGATCGGTGTCCACCTTACCATACTAATATAATCACACTATTAGGATTTGATTTACATTATATTCAGAAATCTAAATCATAAACATCTTCTAGTTTGTTTGACCTCTAGTTTGTTTAAGATCTCAAAACTCAGGGCTTCTGGTAGTATCCAGAAAAGCAAAGTCCTCTTTAAGAGGTCGAGCCTTCTCGTATATGGCTCCTAAACTCACGATAATGTCTTCCTGATAATGTCTGAGGATCAGACATACACTCTCAGTTCAAAACTAGAATAAAGACCTATCCTTTAGTAAAGCATACACACAATGCATCACATTACTTTAGGATGTGGATTCAACTTAAATTGAATTGAATTAAAGTTTGACCTGCATAAAAATTCTCATTCAGAAGTTTCTGAAGCCGAGCGGTGTCCACCTTACCATACTAATATAATCAGACTATTAGGATTTGATTTACATTATATTCAGAAATCTAAATCAGAAACACCTTCTAGTTTGTTTGACCTCTAGTTTGTTTAAGATCTCAAAACTCAGGGCTTCTGGTAGTATCCAGAAAAGCAAAGTCCACTAAAAGAGGTCGAGCCTTCTCATATATGGCTCCTAAACTCACGATAATGTCTTCCTGATAATGTCTCAGACACACACTCTCAGTTCAAAACTAGAATAAAGACCTATCTTTTAGTAAAGCATACACACAATGCATCACATTACTTTAGGATGTGGATTCAACTTAAATTGAATTGAATTAAAGTTTGACCTGCATGAAAATTCGCATTCAGAAGTGTCTGAAGCCGCTCGATGTCCACCTCACCATACTAACATAATCAGACTATTAGGATTTGATTTACATTATATTCAGAAATCTAAATCAGAAACACCTTCTAGTTTGTTTGACCTCTAGTTTGTTTAAGATCTCAAAACTCAGGGCTTCTGGTAGTATCCAGAAAAGCAAAGTCCACTAAAAGAGGTCGAGCCTTCTCATATATGGCTCCTAAACTCACAATAATGTCTTCCTGATAATGTCTGAGGCTCAGACATACACTCTCAGTTCAAAACTAGAATAAAGACCTATCTTTTTAGTAAAGCATACACACAATGCATCACATTACTTTAGGATGTGGATTCAACTTAAATTGAATTGAAGTTTGACCTGCATGAAAATTCTCATTCAGAAGTTTCTGAAGCCGAGCGGTGTCCACCTTACCAAACTAATATAATAAGACTATTAGGATTTGATTTACATTATATTCAGAAATCTAAATCATAAACACCTTCTATTTTGCTTGACCTCTAGGTTGTTTAAGATCTCAAAACTCAGGGCTTCTGGTAGTATCCAGAAAAGCAAAGTCCACTAAAGGAGGTCGAGCCTTCTCATACTGTATATGGCTATTACATTCTGGGACAACCTTCCTGATAATCCTGGCGCAGACACTCTCTCTCTCTCAAAAGATCGAAGACTTATCTTTTGAGTAAAGCATACACACAATGCATCACATAACATTAGTATGGATTTAATTTGAATTGAATTGAATTTGGACCTGTTACATTTCAAAATATAATGTTGGAGAATCACTTGTACCTTATCCGCATATTGCAGAAACAGCTGGAAGGATTCATCATTATCTCTGGGAATCATCTGAAAAATATCAACACAATTTAAACAAATGACTCATTCCAGAATTGCTGAATGAGTTCATTGCATTATGAAACAATTCCTTTTGACATCTTCGAGTGAAAACATAGACTGAACTTTAGACAACAGATTATCTGATCCCATAAACTTGCACATCTTTACCCATCATTCCACCACAGATGTTTTCACACTGCATGAGTATCTGGGGTAGCAGTCCTTAGCTAGGGGCACCTGCCTGCTCTTTACTTTCGTCCGCGACAACCACCCAACACCCTTCCCTTACCAACTGCTATTCACTTTCGTCCATGACACAAGCCCCCCTGCCACTCTTTTCTTTGGTCCACGACAACCACCTGACCTCCTTCCCCTACCAAACCCTATTCACTTTCGTCTGCAACACCATTCCCCCTCCCGCTCTTCATTTTCGTCCACGACAACCACCCAACCCCCTTCCCCCACCAACCCCTATTCACTTTCATCCGTGACACAACCCTGCCCTCCTGCTTTTCACTTTCATCTGCAACAACCAACCGACCCCCTTCCCCTACCAACCCCTATTCACTTTCATCCACGACACAAGCCCCCGTGCCACTCTTTTCTTTGGTCCACGACAACCACCCGACCCCCTTCCCCCACCAACCCCTATTCACTTTCATCCACGACACAAGCCCCCGTGCCACTCTTTTCTTTGGTCCACGACAACCACCCGACCCCCTTCCCCCACCAACCCCTATTCACTTTCATCTGCGACACCACTTCCCCCTCCCACTTTTCATTTTCATCCACGACAACCAACAGACCCCCTTCCCCCACCAACCCCTATTCACTTTCGTCCGCGACACAACCCTGCCCTCCCGCTCTTCACTTTCGTCTGCAACAACCAACAGACCCCCTTCCCCCACCAACCCCTATTCACTTTTGCCTGCGACACAACTCCCCCCTCCCGCTCTTCATTTTTGTCCACGACAACCACCCGACCCCCTTTCCCCACCAACCCCTATTCACTTTCGCCTGTGACACAACTCCCCCCTCCCACTTTTCTTTTTTGTCCACGACAACCACCCGACCCCCTTCCCCCACCAACCCCTATTCACTTTCGCCTGTGACACAACTCCCCCCTCCCACTTTTCTTTTTTGTCCACGACAACCACCCGACCCCCTTCCCCCACCAACCCCTATTAACTTTTGTCCGTGACACAACCACCCCTCCCGCTCTTAACTTTGGTTTGCGACAACCACCCGACCCTCTTCCCCCACCAACCCCTATTCACTTTCGTCAACAACACAAGCTCCCCTGCTGCTCTTTTCTTTGATCCACGACAACTGCCCGACCCCCTTTCCCTACCAACCCCTATTTACTTTCGTCCGCAATCCCCTATTCACTTTTGTCCATGACACCCCTCCCCCCCATTTTCACTTTCAACCCCCTTCCCTCACCAACTTCAATTCACTTTCGTGTGCAAAACCCTCCTAACCTGTACCCCCTCACTCTACACTTACGTTCATGACATCCAAACACCCACCGCCGCTCTTCATTTTCATCCATGACACAACTCTTCTCCTGCACTCTTCACTTTCGTCTGCGATACCTTACCACTCACCGCCGCTCTTCACTTTCGTCCATGACAAAACCCTTCTCCTGCAGTCTTCACTTTCGTCCGCAATACCTTACCACCCACCGCCGCTCTTCACTTTCGTGACACCATGAGGGCGGCACGGTAATAGTTTGCAATTTTACTCAAGTAAATGTAACGATGTAAAAGTGATTTACTCATGTCTGCAAACTATTCACAACTCTAGAATCACCCATGTACAGTATATACTTTCAAAACGAATAACAATGACAAAAAATGTCCCAAGTGGTGATGTACCTTAGTTCTTGTGATGCCGTATCCAGAAGTGTCTCTAAAAAACAAAAACAAAAAGGTTTGAAGTCCAACAATCCTACAAAAACTGATTAACATCACTAAAGCTCAGCAAACTCTTACTCAATGATGGTTTCTGTCTTTGAATAGACCGTCAGAAGGAAAGACGAAGCTTCATTGGGCTGGAAAGTTGAGGGAACGATGAGGTAGTCGCCTGCTTTAAATCTGAAAAACTCCATCACCTCCCGAGCATTAAGAAAAGACTCATTTTTTCCCACAACACGAACGTTTCTGAAGAACGAGGCTGGGAATTTTTCCTTTTGGTCCTTTAACTGGTGAATAAGGAACATATTGATTATCGTGCCCTTGCAAAACTGAAAAATCTGGAATGCGTTCAATACGTACATGAGCTGGCACCTGCAAAACAAACAGACAGCTGCTTTAAAAGTATTGCAAAATCCAAACCCCATCAAGGTTTCAGTGCATTTTTACCAACCTCATAAATGTTAAAGCCGATGTGGAAATTGGTGGCCAAGTGTCTGTTCCTCTTGTGAGATTTCTGAATGAGAGACACCAGGAGATTTGCAGAGGATTTATCTCTAGGATCTTCAACAGTCTCTTTAAGAGTCACACGATATTGAGGATTCTTCGAAAAACTGTCTATGAATAAATAAAAACAGATGCAGTGCATTTAAAAGAAGTGACCTAACATAGATTCTGTTTAGTTGCCATCGCAACATGTTTCAAGTCTTAAGTAAGGATTAAGATACAAAGATTCTGTAATGTTAAGCTGCAATTAATCATGCAACCAGTTATGAAATATCCTGCTTAAGTGTGATGTGCCAAAAGCACTTCATAAAGCCTGTGGAATGTCTGTCAGTGACTTACAACTCCAGTTATCCTACTTACACCTCTCTACTGCACTAACCTGATTTAACCAGGCAGGACATGTTCCTGGTTTAACATCTATGTTGATCCTGGAACAACATTCCAATCAGCAAATTACAATTAAGGGACACGTTTACCATTTATGTCAAGTGTAGGCTTACGGTTAGGTTTATACACTTCTACATGACTGTTATCCAACTATTATTCCACTCTGATTTTGGAAATAATTTACAGTTATGGTTGGGTTTAGGGGTAGGGAATAGGTATGGATTACATTTTCCAACAAAAATGATGTTCCAGGATCAACAATGTAACGATGTTCAAGCATCTTACTTGGCAAATCATGACGTGCACTCTACTGTGTCAGTTTAGTGCTGTATTCATCTTATTCTCAGCTGTCGAGCGGGCGCTGCGATTTGAATCTTTTTGTCTCGCGACTTCCCGTCACATTCACTTCCATTTATTTTTTGACGTTAACAACTGCTCGTTACGCTGCTTGATGTTGCAATTTAATATTTTCTTATTATATTATGCTACTTGGTCTGTGTAGTCATGCAAACATTTGTTTGTTGAGCAAGTTGTTTGGCCATTTTCTGCCGTTTATTATTCCTAGTCATTTCTCCCATAGGCGAATGAATCGGAAGTTCTAAGACAATCGCGAAAACAGGCGCACTTCCGCATTTTAAAATAAGGTCAATAGAGTCAGTAAAGATGTGAGATGGGAGTAAACATAAATGCATTTCAGTGCTTTGGTGATTGCCTTCAAAATACCCCCAAAACTAAATAAATAAATAAATAGATAAATAAATAAATAAATAAATAAATAAATAAATAAATAAATAAATAAATAAATAAATAAATAAATATAATCATTCATTAATTTTTCTTCGGCTTAGTCCCTTATTTATCAGGGGTCGCCACAGCAGAATGAACCACCAACATTTTACGCAGCGGATGCCCTTCCACCTGCAACCCATCACTGGGAAACACCCATACACGCATACACACACACACGCATACACACACTTTTACACTACAGCCAATTTAGTTAATCAATTCCCCTATAGTGCATGTGTTTGGACTGTGGGGAGAACATGCAAACTCCACACAGAAATGCCAACTGACACAGCCGAGACTCGAACCAGTGACTTTCTTGCTGTGAGGCAACAGTGCTGACCACCATGTCGCCCATAATAATAATAATAATAATAATAATAATGTTTTTAGGGCATTCGATGTGTAAAACAGATGCCAGAATAGTTGGCAGTTCATTCTGCTGTGGCAAACCCCTGATAAAACGAAGACTAGGCTGAGGGGAAAAAAAAAACGTATTAAAACACAGAACAAAACATAAAACTGCATAGAAATTATTTAGGTATTCATTAATGTCACAATTGCAACATGTCAGAAAAACGTCAGTGTACTGTATATCTTAAAATGAGAAATTTCTGTCTCTCATTTCTCATGTCATGCTCAGATTTTGTTTATAACATGTTTATAACTTATATACAAAAGTCAAAATTTAAAAGTCAGACAAGAAACAATTTCTTACATCTCCTTTTTTAGGTTAATAAGTGGGGATGTCACGATGAAAAGTCCCCATTTTTACTCAAATTCTTAGATAGGAGCAGTCAAAGTCATAATAAAAACGTTTGTAGTACAAACAGTGTTGTCAGGGATGCAGTTTTTGTGTGGTTTATTTATGAAATAATTTCTAAGGATCACATGCTTATGATTGAACACAGCTGGTATCGCATCAGCTCCATGTATTTCACCAATCAGATGAATACTGACACACTATAAATAACCAGAGCTTTCCACTCCAGTCATCTTCATCTTGAAGAATCTCCCCTTCCACTCTTACTCCTCCTCTTCTCTGATAGGGCGGCATGGCAGCTCAGTGATTAGCACTGTTGCCTCACAGCAAGAACGCTGCTGGTTTAGCCCCTCTCCGAGCCGGTCGGCGTTTCTGTGTGGAGTTTGCATGTTCTTCCCGTGTTCGCGTGGGTTTTACCTGGGTTTCCTGTTTTCCTCCCACCGTTCAAAGACATACACCATAAGTAAATTGACTACTTGAAAATAGCATCTTAAGACTTAGTCAGACATATATTAGCACATTCACAAGCAGGGGAGTTTTCGAGATCTACCTGAGCTCAAACTCTCCTCTCGCCCTTCAAACGTAAGGGAGCCCCGGGCTCATAGATATTCTGAGCTCATGGCTTTCTCCCGGGACAGCACGCCAAATACGCTTTATTATCAATCATCAGCTAAGTGTGAACTCATGAAAATTGGGAGCTTAAAAAAAACGTAAGCTGTGAGTTGCCTTATTTTAGGATTTTTTTCATAACGTGCTATAGCCGCAAAAATGTTTCATCCTCATAAATACAGAATGTAAAATAAATAGTTTCTTAATGGACATTGATCCCAGAATGCATACCTGGCAACCCCCTAAAAATGCTGTAAAAGTATGTTGGTAATATTAAATCGGATATCTCATGAAGGTCATTAGAAATATTGTTTGATGTGCAGTACTGTAAGTTAGTCAATACTTTAAAATTGAGATCTGCTAAGCATTTCTCTTTTTGGGAATCCAGCAGTTAACATATTGGATAAAGACAAAATGAGCTACTTTTCATTCCTTCTGGTCTGTCATCTTGCTGGGAAATTTTCACGGACTTGGCAACCCTGAAGACAAACAATACAAACAGAGTTACGGTATATTACCTATGTCATTTGAACACCCTCCAGCTGTTGTCCCCATCACCCACTGGCCCTTGTGCACTTCAGTTTTCCAGGAGGAAGATTGAGATCCGGCAAGGACATTCACATCTGAACAACAGATATCCATTTCAGAAAAATTCCTGCAGAAATCCTCCATTGACATCCTGCAGAGACAGAAAAGGACTGTAAAATAGTGTGCTACACGCAGTACACTGTAAAGAAATGCTGTGCTGCAAACAATACCTTTATGCTGTCCTAACACAAGCAGATTAAGTTCACTTAATTGTTTTAACAAATTTTAGTGGATTAAATTTAAAACAATTAATTTGTCCCTAATAAATTTCTAGAGTTGTGTTGTTCCAGCTCATTTTTAAAAATTAGTTTGAGGTTGCACCGAGGAAGAGCTTTCTGCTCGATGGCATTTCAAGAGTTCACACTAAGATATTGTTTGACAACTTGTTAGCAAGTTAGCAGGTTTGTCATGCTGTCCTGGGAGAGAACCCTGAGCTCGGAGATAACTGAGCCCAGGGCTCCCGCCTGGTCCATAGAGCATGTAAGGGGAGTACGAGATCAGGTGGTTCTCGCGAGCTTCCCCTGGTAAAGGAGGAAAGGAGGAGAAAGGCTGGATAGGGGGTTTCTTCGGAAAAACAAAGATAAGGGATTAGTTCTAGCTAGGCTACTTATAGTGAGTTTGGATCAATCTGATTGGCTAGCTAATGAGTGTAGATGAGTGGCCAGCTGCAGTCAATCATATCATGCGCTCCTTTCGAAATTAGTTCGTGAAACTTCACTTTAAGAGTTCACTCCTTACTGATGATTGCTGTCCCGGGAGAGAGCCCTGAGCTCATGAGATCCTCGAGCTCGGGGCTCCCTCCCGTTTGCAGGGCGAGAGGAGAGTTTGAGCTCAGGTAGATCTCTGTAATATTGAGGGTGTGTTGCTGGTGGGATTAGACTATGGTGCTGATTTGGTTTTTGTCAATTTACTTATGTCTCATGTTTTGGACTTTGGGAGGAAACCGGAGGATCCAGAGAAAACCTACGCGAGCACAGGGAGAACATGAACTCCACACAGAAATGCCAATTGGCTGGGTAGAGACCCAAAGCGGAGGCATTCTTGCTGTGAGGCCACAAAGGAGAGAGGGTGAAAGGGGGGATTTTTCAAGACGAATATGACTAAAGGTAAGATGCTTGGGTTATTTATACTGAGTTAGGAATCGTCTGATTGGTGGTTCGTACATTAGCTTGATTCGGGCCAGCCGTACACCAAGCCCACCCTTGGTACCCTTTATGCAGCGGAAACGCAAGTCTAATAAAGTTGACCTGTACTGACCTGTACCGTACTGTACCAGTCAATGGAAAACGTTTGTAGTACAAACAGTGTTGCCAGGGATGCAGTTTTTGCACACTTGTGGTTTATTTATGAAGTAATTTCTAAGGATCTATGCTTATGATTGAACACAGCTGGTATCGCATCAGCTCCGTGTATTTCACCAATCAGAATACTGACATACTATAAATAACCAGAGCTTTCCACTTCCGTCATCTTCATCTTGAAGAATCCCCCCTTCCACCCTTACTCCTCCTCTTCTCTGATAGGGCGGCATGGCAGCTCAGTGATTAGCACTGTTGCCTCACAGCAAGAATGCTGCTGGTTCAGCCCCTCTCCGAGCCGGTCGGCGTTTCTGTGTGGCGTTTGCATGTACTTCCGTGTTCGCATAGGTTTTACCATAAGTAAATTGACTACTTGAAAATAGCATCTTAAGACAACTTTTAGTCAGACATATCCCAGCACGTTCACAAGCATGCAGCGGAAACGCAACCCTAATAAAGTTGACCTGTACTGACCCGTACCGTACTGTACCAGTCAATGATAACGGGCCATAAGTAATGCAACTAGTTACTTTTTTTGGGGAATAACACAATATTGTAATGCATTACTTTCAATAGTAACTTTCCCTAACACTGCTGGTTATGCATCAATAAAGGATTTTAGAGGTGTTTTTCACTCTTCATGAACATGTGGGGATTTCTGTTCCTGATGCAGTTTACATATAAAAGCAAAAACATTAAGAGGATTAGACACCACTTTATTCTGCTCACCAGAATTCTCCATTGTCGAGAACATCATTGTATTTTTGGTCCTCGGGACGTACAAGTTCCCACAGTGGAGATCTAAAGAGACCAGATTAATAAAATAAGCTTTATGGAGAAAATCAGACATGCTGAATGGTGACTATTGGTGGATAAATAGTTGGATTCAGACCTGTCGCTCCAGTCTCTGTTCCACTCTCCAGAACCCCACGGATTAAAAATTCTCACCAGCTTCACTGGACGACCTTTACATACAACCTGAAAGAGAACACCCCATACTGTACACTTGACAAGTAGTTGTCTTAAAAAAATACATTTTATGAACATTGTCTGCTCTCTGATGAATTGCTTTAGTTGCAGTTTTAAAAGTAAACATTTGTGCAAAAATGAATTTGCAAAATACATAAAGTTGAAACCAGAAGTTTACATACACTCTAAAAAAAGGAACAGAACCTTTTTTTTTTTAAATGTCTGGTGTTAAATCATACTAAAAGTATACTTTTTTAGGTCTGTTAGGATCACCTAAATTACCTAAATAATGAGAGTAATTTTGTTTTTTGAGAATTTATTTATTAATTTCTAAACAGTCAAAAATTTACACATGTTTCCTTGTTTTTTTTTTTTGTGTAACCCCGCCGGTCCAACGCCACCCAACCCGACCTTCCGCATGGGAGTCGGTTGCTCTACCAAGGAGGCTAAAGACCATGGCCTCTAGCGTCTGTCGCTAGAGCACCTTTAGAGATCAGAGGAGTCAGGTTTAACTGCACAGCACTTACTAGCTGGCCTCTGTTACATTAACTTTGCTTTTAAACTGTATAACTTTGGTCAAGTGTTTTGGGTATCCTTCCACAAGCTTCTCACAATAGTTTGCAGGAATTTTGGCCCATTCCTCCTGACAGAATTGGTGTAACTGAGTCAGATTTGTTGGCTGTCTTGCTCGCACAAGCTTTTTCAACTCTGCCCACAAATTTTCTATAGGACTGAGATCAGGGCTTTGTGATGGCCACAAAACATTCACTCTGTTGTCCTTAAAGCACATTTTAACTAATTTGGCAGTATGCTTAGGGTCATGGTCTGTTTGGAAGACCCATTTGTGGCCAAGTTGTAATTTCCTGGCTGATGTCTTGAGATGTTGGTTCAGTATTTCTCCATAATGTTCTTTCTTCATGATGCCATCTATGCTGTGAAGTGGACCAGTCCCTCCTGCAGCAAAACAGCCCCACAACATGACGCTGCCGCCCCCATACTTCACAGTTGGGATGGTGTTCCTAGACTTGTAAGCTTTCCCCTTTGTCCTCCAAATGCAACACTGGTCATTATGGCCAAACAGTTCAATCTTAGTTCCATCAGAGCACAGGACATGTCTCCAAAAATGATTTTTCCCTCCAGTGTATTTAGCAAATGGTAATCTGGCTTTGTTGTTGATTCTGGCTTGTTGATTTTCCCATGTTGTCACACAAGGAAGCAGTGTGTTTGAGCTTTTCCTTAAATACTATTCTACAGTTGTGCCTCCAATTAACTCAGATGTTGTCAATTAGCCAATCAGAAACTCCAAAAACCTTGACATCATCATCTGAGCTTTATCAGAGGCAGAATAATCTTATTGTATGTAAACTTGACTTTTAAGAAAAGGTCTTCTGCTATTAAGCAGAACAGAAACTAATGTGATAATCCTTACTTACCTTAAAGAGAAAAAGTTCAGTCACATTAACATCTGACTTTTTTAAAATGGTCATGTGCCTTTTTATACAGTGTATGTAAACTTCTGCTTTCAACTGTAAATATAAATTACAAAGCACATTAGAATTAGTCAGATATTTGAGATATGTTCTCACCTCTGTGACTCCTGTGACCGTGTACGCATGCATTTCCACAAGACCATTGGGCAACACAGTATTTTGCAGCACACCTGCTTGCTGAAGTAACAAAGATTTTAGTCTGTGATTATATGGTTTAAAGCAATGTTTTTCAACCACATTTCTGGAAGACCACCAGCTCTGCACATTTTCCAGGTATCTTTAACCATACACACCTGATTCAGATTATCAGCTCATTAGTGGAGACTGAAAGACCTGCAATGGGTTTGACAGAGAAAGGAGATATCCAAAATATGCAGTGTTGGTGGTCCTTGTGGTTGAGAAGACCTTAAAGGGATAGTTAACAAAAAATAAATAAAATCTGTCATCATTTACTTGCCGTAATCGTAGTCAACAAATAAATCTTCATATCGAACTATCTCTCCTAATCAAACTCTGCTATATTTTTGGTGAAATTCGTCAGTTTGTACAAGTTAATGCTGGGTATTTTTTAAATAATACAGTTCGACTTAAAGATATTTAACAAATCTGCTTAATTTATGAGTTTAAATTTAACACTAAATTTGTATTAGTGCAGTTCCACCATGCATGCTGAGCTGGCAAAAGGCTCACTCTGAAAGCGTACCTTTGTATATATCTCTGGAGATCGCGAATTGTGTAGCCAGAAGGAGGTATGGCTGCATTTTATCTTTAATACAAACACTACGGGGCAGTATGACGCCGTTCCTTTTTGCGCTAGCAGCTGACCACTTACCTCCGTATGAACGGTTTTCCTACTGTTACCAGTTTGTCCAGAGACTCGCCATGTACGTCGGCGGACTTGAGACGCAGAGAGCAGTTGACCGCAACAACGGGGTTTGAGTCTGACGAAGAACGGTTCCAGAAAGCAGGTAAGACAAAAACCGAAGCCAAAAAAAATATAACAAATGCAACAAGCAAGTTAATAACAGCATGAGAATGTGGTAAAATTTGAAAACGTGGTAAAAGTCAGGGGTCTTTTCTTTTTGTGGATTGCTTTTTAAAACACTGTCGATTGGAATTACGAAAGTGGGCGTTCAATTTAATTGGAACTTTGTAAAACACTATCGGTTGGGTTTAGGAAAGGAGGAGGGTGGGAGATCAGTCGGTCGGTCAGTCGGTCAGTCAGTCAGGCGACAGCGGCCTGTGATGGATTTACACAAAAAGGCGCGAGGGAAATTTAAGATCTCAAAAAGCGAACACAGCGTGGATTCACAAAAACAAAAAAATTTATTTACTGGGATGTATTTGGCGCTCTCCAGAAATGTATACAGGGGTACATTTTCAGAATGATCCGGGGGTTTCTTGTTTACATGCACATTCTTTAAACCTGTATACAGTACATTAAAATATCTTATACATGATCTGATGTTTGTACTTGTATATAACAATGTACCACTGCTTCACATATTCAAAGATAGTCTAAAATAAAGCATTTTTGTTGGTGGTTTGTGCTAGTCGTTCAAGCTGTGCATACTGACAAGATTAAATTTAACACATTTTTAGGCCCCAATCACCTTCCATATTTCCACTAATACTGGTTTGACAAGTGCACCTTCTGTCTAATGAAATGTTACAACAATGCCTTTTGATAAGGAGTCACAATTGTTTTTGCACTTGCTGTGAACGCTCAAGCTCATTCTGGCGTGCATTCGGATGATCTTTTATGCCTTGAAATTCCACCATTCTAGTAACTAGACATTAGAGTTTAGACTATTTATTATTCCTTTGCATTAGTGCTTTAGTTACCTGCCTGATCTCACGAGAAAACGTAAGTATTTTTAGGTTTTGCCAGTTTAGTGGCTAATTCGTACGAATTAGTACGAGTTCAGTCGTACGAAATTGTACGATTTAAAAAAGGAGGCGTGGCACCTAACCCCACCCCTAAACCCTACCGTCATTGGGGGATGAGCAAATTGTACTAAAATGTACTAATTAGATCGTACGAATTCATACAAATTAGCCGCTAAATGAAAAAGTTACGAATTGCTATGAGATTGTGTTGAAGTTACTGACTCAGGACAGTAATATACTTTTTTATAGTAATGAAAATATGCACAGTTTCGCTATTACTGATTTTATCAGTGAAAGTTGTGCAACAACACTGTTTACATAAACGCAGACGGATCAGCTTCAGCGCCAAACGAGTGCTTTACATAATATTTTATTCTCCCTTATTTATTTCTGTTTCATTTCAAATTATATAAATGTGTAAAGTTTTAGGTCAAGACGTCAAACTATGGCCACACATGCAAGCTAACCCACGGTCAGACTATTCTATTGAAAAGAATGTTTCGATTCCTTTGATCATCCTGGCCATGTTATTACCTCACATCTTAAACGTGCGCACACTGATAAGATATGAAAACCGCGGCACAGCACACACTACAAAAAAAAAAATTAAGGGTATCACTTGATTGCAGAATAACTTGCTTCATTAATAATTATTAATTATTATAGGCTAAATATTTGACCATCTGCCACTACATGCAAAACACTCTCATGCACTCAAAATAGGTTCCCTTTCTCACACAACTTTGGAAAGATGATTATTGTTTTTGGGTGAACTGTCCCTTTAAAGACTCTTACCCCTCCAGGAGTGCCGCATCCCATCAGTGATTCTGATTTGCCGGCTCGTCTCATGATGTCCCACAGCTTATCTGACGCTTGACTCAGTTTAATGGTCATGTGTGGACCACCGGTGAAATCCATCAGAGCCTCTGAGATGTTCCCTGCGTCCATATCCGCATAAGAGCCACACACTCTGGAAAAGGAACAGACATTTTCCCATAAAGACATTTCCAGAAAAGAGAAAACTTCGGATTCATGAAACTGCATAACCTACTTATAATCGAATAATTGTTTGTTGTTTTTTACTGCCAGAACTCAATGTTACTAAATATGCACAGCAAGTGTTTTTCAGTTAACGATACATGTCTGGTGATCGGTTAATGTGAGTATTTTCAATTTCAGAAATTTCCTTTTACAGCATTGATAATGTAATTTCATTCAAATATTATCAGTCAAACAGAATTCATTATTTATTTTGTTGCGTAATATGAGATGAAAGAAGCAGCAGGCGAGCGCTGAAACTCCATTGAAAATACCAACCCAGGCTCATTGTGAAAACGTAGCCCCACGGACGTTTCTGGAGGCCGCAAAATACGTCCCGGGAGGTACGTGTTTGTGCAGTTTTTGTTTTTGCGAATCCTCGAGAGGCCGCTGCCAATCGGCCGACCCAGCCACCCTCCTCCTCCTCCTTCCCTAAACCCAAGCAACGATTTACAAAAGCCGTCCAGAAAAAAAAAGCAAAAGCCCTCGTCCGATTTTGACCGAGTTTTCTGATTTCGCCGCATTCTCGACCTGTCAGGAACTCGTTCACTTTTTTTTTGGATTCTGTTTTTCATCTTATCTGATTTCTGGAACCGCTCTTCCCCAGACTCGAATCCGGTCATCGCCACGGGTGGCTCCTCGTCGTCTGAGCCTTCGCTCCGCCGACGTAACACTTCGAGCTAAGCGGACAAACTGATTGCGGCGGGAAAGTTCTCCACACGGAGGTGAGCTGTCACAGCCAGCGAGCGCGAAGAAAAGGAGCGGCGTCACACAGCCCCGTAGCATTCGCTTGAAAAAAAACAAATGCGACCATACGTACCTCCGGCCACGTAAATCGCGGTCTCCAGAAACGTCCGCGGGGCTACATTTTCAGAATGAGCTCGGGATGGAAAATACAGTGATTAAAAAGTGTTCATATTTCTGATGCAGAACAATGTAATTTCATCAAGTGCTTCTGTTCTTGTGTGAAACCCACTTTATATCCCATCTCAGGCCATGTCCACATGTGCACAGGTATTTTTCATAAAAAAAAAACTCTGTCCACAAGAAAACACAAAAATGCTCTGTGATGCTTGTTATGGGCACTCCGAACCAACAGGCGACGATAATAACACATTAAGGCCCAACCACAATTATTTTTTTGTACCCCTACCCCTTCCCCTTAGCCCAAACAACTGAGTGTGAAGGGGAAGGGCTTCAAAATGTACCCCTAAGAATTGGGACAGCACTACAGCACCTACACGAATCATCATATGTCATCGCAATCTCTTGCTTCATATGAGATCAGACGATCATGACTGCTGTAGTTATTCCAGGTGTGCTATTTTGTGGTAATAATCTTCAGGAAATCATTGAAGGTGTATATTATGTTATCATAGCGATCTAATGTGGCAATAAGATCGTAAATGTACTGTGCATTTACATCATGGCCATATGCATCAATGTAAACACACCAAAAACAACCTTAACATTATAGCAGACACAGTAAAAAGCTCATTCTTTTTTGACAGGGTATTCCAGTGTCATTGAGTGTCAGAATGTTGTGGGACTGCTGTACAGGAGTTATTATTTGGGATTATAGATTGTGAAAATTAGCGAGGGGGGTGTGTTGGGGGTTAGCGTTTTTTTTTTTTTAAGCATGACTGTAAAACATGAATGCAATTATGAATATATTAATACATGTGCTTGTCGTAAAAATTTGTAATAATGACAAAAAATACTTTTTTGTGGATCTCCTTACTTTTGGGTGTAGCAATACTGCTGTTGTGGCAGTTGTATTCTGAGAAATTTTCTTACCCCTTGGTTTCGAGTGTGCTCCTGAAAAATCTTCATTTGAAGGGCTATTCACCCCTTCCCTTAGCCCTGCGCCTTCAAGCTAAAGAGAACTTGGACACCCCTACCCCTTGGCGTGAACATGCAAAATGAGGGTAGGGGTAAGGGCTAAGGGGTAGAATTGGGATCGGGCCTAAGGCTACCCCTCATTTTGCGCGTACCAATGAAGGGGTAGGGGTGTCCCAACTCTCTTTAGCTTGAAGGCGCAGGCCTAAGGGGAAGGGGTAGATGCTGTAGCCCTTCAAACTGAGATTTTTCAGAAGCACACTCGAATCCAAGGGGTTAGAATATTTCCTAGAATACACCTGCCACAACGGCAGTATTGCTGAACCCAGAAGTAAGGAGATCCACAAATTAGTATTTGTTGTCATTATTAGGAATTTTACAACAAACAAACAAACACGTTTTAATATACTCATAACCGTGTTCGTGTTTTACCGTTGTTGGAATATTCTTCCTCTATTCCATGCGTGTTCAATTCAAACTCAGGAGAAATAGTTCAATGCTTAAAAGATTAGTAATTTATTGAATACAAATGAATAATTCGATGTTCAGAGCTCTGGGCATACACCAAGATAGTCAGGTACTCTGCCCTTGCCCGGTGTCTAAAACCCAGTTTTATAGACAGCAGGAATAAAGAGGGTGAGTTCCGGGCTGCTCCTCTGCATATTTGGTCTTTCCTCCTTCACCATTGTCTTTCTGCACAGAAGATTTGTATAGTTAATTGCACCTTTCACATATTTCATAACTCGTGACAACCATACCCTTCTTGTGACCCTGCACATCTTTTTTGGTAGAGAGGAAGTCTGGATCAAGGCCCCCCCCCCCTTGCAATATCTTGCAGCCAATTTCCCTTGTCAGCAGAACTTTGAACAAGATGTTCCAGTACATGACCCCATAATAAAAAGAAGAACTTTAGTTAGTATAACATATCACATAATGAGAAAAAGATTGGTTAATCAGTTGCTAGTCAAAACTTTTTTCTAATGAACACAATCAATGTATTCGTGTAGTCTATTAGTCCATGATTTATATATGTTCCTAAACAAGATATGAAGAGATTTAATGTGAGTATTATAATGTGTATGTAAGATTTTCTTCAGTTTTCCTCCAATACCGTCATGCTTTAAAAAAATGCAAACGTTTGGGCTAAATCTATAACCTATGATCATAACTCCTGTATAGTAGTCTTACAACATTCTGACACTCGATGACACTCGAATACCCTGTCAGAAAAGTCTAGTAGCTGGGAATGAGCTTTTTACAGTGTCTGCTATAATGTTAACGTTGTTTTAGTGTGTTTACATTGATCAATATGGCCACTGTGTAAATGCACAGTACAGTTGCGATCCTATTGCCAAATTAGATTGTTATGATAACATAATATACGCCTTCAGTGATTTCCTGAAGATTACTACAAAAAAATAACACACCTGGAATAACTACAGCAGTCGCGATCCTCTGATCTCATATGAAGCAAGAGATCGCGATGACATATGAGGACGTGTGCAGGTGCTGTAGTGCTGTCCCAATTCTAAGGGGTACATTTTGAAGCCCTTCACACTCTGTTTTAAGGGCCAAGGGGAAGGGATAGGGGTACAAAAAAAGAATTGAGATTGGGCCCTTTACTAAGTGCACATCAAATGGGGAATCAAGTATATTTCTCAAGTAAATTGCATTCAAGTCAATGCAAATGTGAGAACAGAAGCGGATTACTGTCCCTGTGGTTGAACAATGCGGAATATGCGATTCATTTGTCGTGAATGTGCAGAATTCACCTCATTTACATCTTCTGTGTTAGTGGTAAGCCCAGCCTGGTTGGCCAATCACAGAAGAGAAAACAGCGTGCACGCTGACATCATGAGGATAAAACTTTACCCGGAGTTTTGGAAAATATACACCTTGGCCAGAGTTTTCAGAAAGCTTTCAGTCACCAGATACTGCATTTTTGTACAGACAAACAGCCAAACCTCTTAGAAAAAAAGTGCGGTTTTGAAAATACCCTTGTTCTTGTGGACAAGGCCTCAATCAGGCACTGAAGATCATGGATTTTTAACCAGATCTCAAACGCCAGCGATTTTAATAATGCCACTTGAGCTGGTTCAATCAAGATTTAAAATCCCTATGCATATAGCTCATTGCTGCAACCCACAGCTTTTAAAAAACAGCCTTTAGGGAAAACTTACTTGGCATAAGCTTTCTCTAACAGAGCAGGCCAGAATTCATTCGGTGTTTTGGACTGGACAAAGACAAGTTGGTTGTCTATAGTTGGCAGTTTATCATCGATAACCACATCAACCCATGATCCAAATCTCCAGAACTGAAAACAAAAACATAACAGCAATTAGCTATTAAATTAAAAAAAAATGCACACATCGTTGAATTATTCACCTTCCTATGAAATTTAAATTCTTTTTTAAACATTTCCCAAGTGCTGTTTTAAAGAGCAAGGATTTTTTTACAGCATTATTTTTGCTTTCTGGGGAAAGTCTTATTTATTTTAGTTTGGCTGGAAAAAAATATTACAAATAATTAGACTACAGAACAAACCACTGTTGTCCAATGACTTGTCTCATTAACTCTACACTCCTAGTTAACCCAATTAACCCTGTGAAGTCTTTTAATTGCACGTTAAGCTAAATCTAGCAAAATAAATAGTCAAATATTTTTCATCTTGGCATCATGGCAAAGACAAAAGAAATTCGTTTTTTAAAAATTAAAATAAAAGTTATTTAAAACTATTACATTTAAAAATGTGTTGGAAAAAATCCCGTTAATCAGCAATTTTTAAAAAACTCATAATTTTGTCAACCAGAAGCTTTAAAGGAATTGATCATCAAATATATATTTACCCTAAAGTGAAATATTCCAGCATAATCCACAGAGAACGTTTGATCGTCCTGAATGACCTGCTTCATGATGCGCTTCTGAAATGTAAGCGCTCCGACAGATGCCAGAAACCAGCAGTTCCCTTCATACACAAACAGAAATGCAGAATTTATTTATGCATTTATCCAAATTCACTGCTCAGTATTTTGATTAATCCTATATAATGCCTGCACAAAGCAAGTACTGCATATCCTTGAAGCTGTTGTGTATGTGTGTTATTTGCTAGACAGCAGTGGTGTAGTCCTTGCTATACGCGTGTATACTCAGTATGCTCACTCTTTTCCACAAGCTGTTTGGGTATTACCACTTCTGAGGATCAATAATTGCGTATACCCTTGGTATACTCATTTGTTTTTCTGATTAAACTTTATATATATATATATATATATATATATATATATATATATATATATATATATATATATATATATATATATATATATATATATATATATATATATAAAACACATTTTTTTTGTTTACCCCAAAAGGATCTGATCCTGAAAATGAACATCTTAAAATCGCCCCTGTAAAACAGTATTTCACATTTGTCTTAATTGTGCCGCTACAGTGATCCACACTATATATAAGTGCATATATATATATACTTATACTGTATTATGACAAAGTGTATAACACTAAAAAATAATGAGGCAAAGACTACTCAAAAATCGCGATTAACAAAAATAACAATATGCAATTTAAAAGGGTAACTACTATTATATTATAGCGACAACAGAAGACAGACTCATAATAGTTTGGTTTTAAAAAAATAGGATAGGATTAGACTATTAGCGTCTTCCTTTAAATTGAACAAATTTGTTAAAATTTTAAATTGACAGTTTTCCCAAAAAAAAAAATTGTCATCATTTACTCAACCTTTACTTGTTCCAAACCGGTTTGTCTTTTTTTCCTTCTGTTAAACACAAAATACATAATTTTGTACATTATTATTTTAATATTATTTTATTTTAGACAATATTTTGAAGAAAGCTGGAAACCTGTAACCATTGACTTACATTGACATAGTATTTGTTTTTCCTTTCGTGAAAGTTAATAGTTACAGGAAACTGATGTTTAAAAAAAATTCTTTTAAAAAATATACTTAAAAATTACATTATATATATATATATATATATATATATATATATATATATATATATATATATATATATATATATATATATATATATATATATTGAATCAAGGAAACATTGACCTTCGTCATTTTTTTGCCTACTTTCATTTAAATTTTGGGTCGGGTGTAATAGTACACCACCTTTTTTTTTGGACTACACCACTGCTACACATGCTTATTTTGAATACGTACCCCTGTATACATTTCTGGAGAGCGCAAATTATAGCCAGAGGTGTGTATGGCTGCATTTTGCCTTTTAAAACGAACACTACAGGGCGTTATGATGCCCCGACAACTTCTGTTTCTTTTCGCGCTAATGCTGACCACTCACCTTCATGTATACAGCTTTTCTGTCATCACGAGTTTGGTCAATGGCTTGCCATGTATATGGGCCATAGACTGTAAAATATATGGACGTAGTCTCCGTGACGTCACTCGTAGATTTCTGAAGAGCGCAAAAGAAGCCACAACTAGGGGCGGCCAACTGTCGCCTTTTGTTCGTGCATCATTGCACTCACGGCAGGATACCAAACAAGGGCAAAGAGGCGAAGAGTGAGCAGAGCTACAGAATCCTGCTAGCATTTTGTTTGGACCTGGCTTAGACACACTTTACTTTGGGAAAACGCTGAATACTTAATCACCTGCAACTCGTTTGTGTTCTGACCACATGTGCTTGGCTGTACTATATCAATAAAGTGTTTAGTCTTTTAAAAACACTGCTGTAATACATTGAGCCACTAAACATTTGTTCGTATGATGTTTTCCTACAGGAGGAAAATGTGAATTACTTTCAAACACTTCAGATATAGTCTGTTAGTAAATGCAAAGCTAATTATGAAATCCAGCATAACACTGTATGATAACGCTTTAGATGACTGTTCTAGAGTCTACAACTAATCAATCTGTCAGATTCTGGAGTGCATTACAGCTCTAAAGAACATTATAAATGATAAATGATCTTAAATAAAACAAATACATGTATAGAGATGGTGTATAAGTATATAATTTTACTCACATGGGAAACGGAGGCCACAAGAATGGTTTGTAAGCACAATAAAGTGCACACAGCATCCCATATCATCTGATAATTGTAGGAAATAATCCCAAAAAGCAACTGACTGTGTAAAGCCACAGAAAACAACACAAAAACACGATGAATATGAATCAGCTGAATCAGTCGGAATCAGCTGAGGTGAAGTGACGGCGACAGCGAGACCTAGCTGTCAATCAAGTGGCCACACCCTTAATTATGCAAACTTAATCTAGCCTAACATAAAGGAAACTAATGAGTTTTTAAAAGAATCACATCCCTCACAGTTGTCATGAAGGGTAGTATTAGCTTGATGAACCAAAATCGTTCTTTGTACCAGGCTGTAAACACCTTTTTTTCTGCAGTAAAGTTGGCCATTCTAACAGTGGGCTCAATTAAACTTTGCTCTATTATGGAACCAGGACTAGTGGCTTTTCAATGAATTGCAGTTTCAGTTACATTCGTATTGGCCTCCCGAGGGAGAGTGTTCACTGCGGCATCGAACGGTTCCAGGAAGCAGGTAAGACAAAAATAAACAAGTAAATAACAGGGATCTGAGAATGTGGAAAAAAAATCAGGCAGTTATGAGGGTTTATCTTATTCTGGGTTGCTTTTTAAAATGCAGTCGATACGGTAGGGTTTGGGGAAGGCTGGTCAATCCGTGCTGGTCAATCTGTGCTTTTGAAAACACTATCAGTTGGGTTTAGGGAAAGGGTCATCGGTCGGTCGATCGGCCAATCAGTCAGTCGACAGCAGCCTCTGATGGATTTACGTGAGAACAGCAGGTGTGAATGGCACTCGCAAGAGATTTTTGAGATCTGAAAAAGTGTACACAGCGGCCTCTGGTGGGTTCACGAAAACAAAAACTGCAAAAAAAAAAAAAAAAAAAAACTCCTGGGACATATTTTGTGATCTCCAGAGATGTATATAGGGGTACGTAGCAATAATGAGCCTGGGTTGGTTATGTATAGTGATTATACGTTCTCATTTGAGGCACAAACCCTCCAAACCACCCTAATGTTCATCAAATTTAACATAGATCATCATTAGACTTTGCTAAAAAAAATTATATTATAAAGCTTTTTTTAAAACCTCACGCCATTTTTTGTGTAAACATTTATCCAAACTGTCAGCTATTGGAAGTAATAACACACTGTTTTGGTTTTTGTCACCTCACATTGACCACAGCGCTGCCTATTTGTAACCAGTAATATGTACGTCACGTTAAAATTTGTGGTTTGATTTTGCTTAAAGTCTACAACAATCATCAGTGGTCTTCAACCCTTTTCTCGGATGTATCATTTTTGCATTGTTGCACTTTTTTGTGGCTTCTGGTTATCAGCGTTGGGGGTAACACAATACTTAAAGTAATATTATTACTTTACTAAGTTACGAGCAAAGAAATGTGTTACTTAAAAAAACTTAAGTAATAATATTTGAGTTAATTTTCAGATCCAGTTCAGATTCAACCAACCCAGGCTCGTTCTGAAAACGTACCCCTGTATATGTTTCAGGAGAAAGGAAAATAAATCCCAGGAGCTACGCTTTTTTGCAGTTTTAGTTTTCTCGAATTCACCAGAGGCCGCTGTGTACACTTAATCAGATCTCAAATTTCTCTCATGAGTGCCAATTGTGCCTGCTGTTCTCACATAAATCCACCAGAGGCCGCTGTCGACTGACTGACTGGCCGAACGTTCGACTGACCCACCCTTCTTCTTTCCTAAACCCAACAGATAGTGTTTTCAATTGCACAGATTGACCCACCCACTTCCCTAAACCCAACCGATAGTGTTTTTAATTGCACACATTGACCCACCCACTTCCCTAAACCCAACCAATAGTGTTTTCAATTGCACAGATTGACTCACCCACCCATTGTTTTGAAAAGCAATCCAGCAAAAGAAAAGCCCTCGCCTGATTTTTACCATGTTTTCAGATTTTACCACATTCTTATCCTGTTATTAGTTTGTTTATTTTATTTTTTGGCTTTTGTTTTTGTTTTACATGCCTTCTAAAACCATCATTCGCCAGACTGGAACCCCATCATCGTGGTCAACTCCTATCTGCGTCTCTAGTCCGCCGATGTACATGGCGAGCCATTGGGCAAACTGGTAATAGTGGGAAAACCGTTCATACGGAGGTAAGCGGTCAGCTGGTAAGCATGAAAAGGAATAGCGTCATACCACCCCGTAGCGTTCGTTTTAAAGACGAAATGCAGCAAAACATAGCTCTGGCTACATAATTCGTGATCTCCAGAAATGTATACTGGGCTACGTTTTCAGAATGAGCCTATGTTGGATTCAAAACCCACTCGAACACCTAATAAAGGTGTTGCTGACAGTTGTGCTGAAGCAGGATTGGTGCTTGAAGTAACTGTTTATTTACATTTTACATTTAAATCCACAATCACTGAATAAACCGTACACACCTGTTTGCCTGATTTATTGCACTGCCACTTTATCTATTAACTAGCTTAGCCCGTTGACCTTTGAGATTTTGATGTCTAAATGATTTTCCATATGTTTTGGTTAATTATTAACAAATACATTTTTTCTCACTTGTTATTTTTATAATCCAGCATACTGTAAATATATAGTAGACAATGAATGATCCTTTACCAAATCTGAATTCATTTCCATAATGCAATTTTGCAGGCCTACCTAATCTGCCCTGGATGAAGTCAAACCTTGAAGTGCCTTGAGCGATGTAAACAGGGTTTGGCACCAGTTCCTGAAGGAGAAAGAGGATTTATTTCACATTGTACATCAGACACAAGTGTACAATTCCTTAACACAGTGGTTCTCAAACTGTGGTACGTGTACCACTAGTGGTACGCAGGCTTCCTTCTAGTGGTACACAAAGGAATGGCTGAATAATAATAAGAAAAAAAAAGAACACACTTTTAACCCTTTGACACGTACAATAATACCGATTTGATCAGTAAATTGATTTGAATAGGCTACACCTTTTATTTTATTTTAAATTTCCTATTGTTTGTTATGTATTTTATCATTTGAAGCTAATCTCCTCCCCATATTTGTAATGGTTGTTGGGGGCGTATACCGTATTTTTATATTCCAATGTTGACAGGAATAGTTTCATCGCTTGCTTTTCTGACACAAATAGCCTTCTCTAATGTGCAGTAAGCAGATCTAATTTGTAATTTAGATATGTAAATCCAATTCATATGTCTAAAATACAAGTTAATGTTTAGATTTCAAAGATATACAAATATATCATATGTACATGCACCATATATTTAAAACAAAATTATCAAAAGGAGTTTTTATTTTAATGTGATGACGTATAGCCTATATTTATGAGGTCCACAACATTTGGTTTTCATGAATAGGCTACTTTATGTTAATGTTTTACATTTAAATACAGCAGTTTTCTTTTTACTCTTTAAGAACAGTGCCATTTTTAATTAACTTTTAAAAGCACATTTTCATTTAAACATTATTTATTTTACCTGTAAGCACAGTACAGTGTTAAATGTTTAAACTATTTATAATGTTCAAAGTGGCTGACAATGATAAATGTTCATAATAATAGGAATTAATCTGCCTCTGAACTGTGCAGTGCTGTAGATGCTTAATTAGGCCTACCACGGTCCTGTAATTCAATACTGGTCACTATGGTGGTTCTTGGAAAGACAATTTTTTTCTGAGGTGGTACTTGGTGAAAAAAGTTTGAGAACCACTGCCTTAACAAGTACACAAGACCCTTTTTAAGTTTAAAAAATACAACAAAACCAGAATGAAAAGCATGTATGACTACGCAATACCCTGTGTAGTGGACACTAAACTTTACTAGCACTCACACCCTAATGTCAACAGCAGCTAGACTGGCCAACGAGAACTTTTAGTAGCTTTCAAAATATGCCTACAACTTTACAATTTTACAGTAGTTTGTCAGTAGGCATATGTATGCTTATTACTAAAATTCAGGCACATGAAGTGTGTGAGATATGGAGAAATGAAACAATAGACTATAGAAATGAAACAAAAGATTTCTCAAATGTTTTCTGACACTAATATAACTTCATATATATTGTTAATATAATTCATTCATTCATTTTTCTTGGACTTAGTGCATTTTTTGTCAGAGGTCGCCGCAGCGGAATGAACCGAGAACTATTCCAGCATATGTTTTACACAGCGGATGCCTTTCCAGCCACAACCCAGTACTGGGAAACACCCATACACTCTCATTCACACACATTCATACACTGCGGCCAAATTAGTTTGTTCAATTCCCCTATAGCGCATGTGTTTGGACTGTGGGGGAAACTGAAGTACCCGGAGATAACCCACGCCAGCACAGGGAAAACATGCAAACTCCACACAGAAACGGCGACTGACCCAGCCGGGACTCAAACCAGTGATCTTCTTGCTGTGAGGGGATTGTGCTACCCACTGCGTCACCGTGCTGAAGCCAATGTAAATGTGCTCCATATAAGCATAATGTTTTGTGGAAGTTTTGTTTTCCCCTAACTAAAACAATTTTTTTCTTTACAAGTGTTATGGACGTGAAATCATTATGTGGGTTAAGAACCTAAAGTCCACATGTACTCAAAACGAACAGATTTTGTTAACTCACATTGCTAGTTTTGTGGTAAACCATTCATCTGTGCATGTCATTAAGTACAAAATAAATTGTTTGCTCTTGTAATCTTTAAATGAAATCTGAAAATGCACTTCCTGTTTGTTTACAGTTAAAATAGTGGGCGGGGCTAACACACTTAACCATGCCCCTCCAGCTGTCAGTTTTGACAACAAACAGAAATAAGGAGCAGGGGTCCGTTCATCGTACGTGGATTACTCAGTTAGCTGGATTTGGATATTGAGGATTTGACATGATCCAGGATCGTTTCGTTCTTCAAAGCTGATCCGAGAGATATTGCCATAGCAACAGTTCTGCTAGGTCAAACCTGATCGGGAGCAGGTTCAATTTATATAAACAGGATTAGATCGGCTCAGTTCAAGCAAAGATAATACAGAAAGTATGTTCTGAATTCTGATATTTTCTTACAGTAGTAGTTATATACACTTGGGAAAATGGTAAATATTTTTTTAACTATATATATATATATATATATATATATATATATATATATATATATATATATATATATATATATATATATATATATATAGTTATTAATAAAATAAATAAAGTTATACATATTTATAAAACTTATGCAATCTGCACCCTCGAAATGAAAGTGCAAAGACTGCCACCTGGTGGTGCACAGAGAAAACTTTGATATGAACTTTTTAGATGGCTTTAGTACAATTTGTGTATAATAGACATGCACAATATGTGACTTTTTTTTAAAGTAATAATACATTTAGTCATAAACATGTTTTGATAGTTAATATGCCGGTGATTTGATGCTTCACAAAAGTTGCAGACCCCTTTACCAATATCAAAATGCTTTTGTAAACAACCAGTTATTCCATACAGCGATTAAAAAAATGGCTACTACAATAAAGAAAATCTTTTCTAAATGTAGAACTAAATACACTGATTTGCATTGAAATAAAGCCTGCAGCTCACAACAAATGTGGAAAGTTATTGCGTGTCATATTTAACAAACCGTTTACTGCTAATTTGATGTAATTTTGCTCACATGGATAATTGAATATTAATCAGATGATGTCATTACGCTGCTGTGCCGTCAGCCAATCGTTGCATTGCTGATCATGATTTCGAGGATCGATAGATCTGTCCTTCACAACACACGCAGCAATCTCAGATCAGTTTATAAAGACATTCAAATCTGATTCGCGAACTTGTTTGAAGAACCAAATTAGCGAGAGATCATTTATCAAGATTAAAAGATCCAGGATCTGCCAAAAAATCTTAGATCATTTAAGCGAGGTGCGAAGAACAGACCCCAGGAGGCGTCTGTTAGTTTGTAATAACTCTCCACAAATGCCTACTTTACAACATCCAATCAGTTCGCAGTAGAAAAAAAAGCCACGCCCAGTGTTGTCTTATTTAAGATTCAGTTTTTCTACACTTTAAAACCCATCAGTCAACTTTATCAAATGAAATGAGTGTCGTTAACTCAAAATTGACTGAAAGTTAGAGTTTTGAACTCAGTGTTAAAGGTAATGATTTCATTAAATACCTTATTAATTTAACTTAAAGAAGCAAGTTCACTCATATTGATAAGTTTTTTTTACTTAAATTTGAGTTGCCTTAACTTATTGGGTTTTACAGTACTTAGTTGGTTTAAGTTCTATTAATTTATTGGATTTTACTGTGCTCAAATTGCTTCATTTACTTAAATGGATTAAGTTCACAGCAATCATTAGGATTCATTTTTAAACTTAAATGGTTCCTCAAATGGTTTGAGTCACCCTAACTTTTCGGGTTTTACAGTGTAGGAACTACACCACAATATTTTAAAACAGTCGCAGTTTCCAGTTCACTTTAAATTAACTTAGCTATTTAATAACATCTATTAAAACATAGTGGGCCCTATCATACACAGCAGTTTTGCGCAGTGTGGCGCAAGGAGCGGCGCAGTAGTCTTTTGGTAGTTTCAGCTTGGCGCAAGAGTGGTTTTGAGGCGTTGCGCTACGCTGTTTAAATAGCAAATGCATTAGCGCTCATTTGTGCGCCCATAGGCGTTCTGGTCTAAAAAGCAAGGTGTTCTGAGGCGGACCACTGGCGCGTTGCTATTTTGAGAAACTATAATAGATTTTTCATTTGACCAAAACTAACCCGGTCTAAACTCCGGCGCAGAGTTGCTCCTCGCTTACACACTGCTTAATACACACAAGAGAGCAATAGGCAAATATCTTTACATATGAAAAAATGTAAATATTAAGGATATATATAGGATATAATAAGAATAGATATAGAATATAAATATAAAGGATTAAAATATTACAAAACATATTATTTTCTAGCCTACATCAATATGAAAAATCACTGCTTTTATGTCTTCTTCATCTCGGGAGGCTTTTTCACTTCATTCATAACAATTTGCTTTTGTATAATGTGATTATTATTAGCAGTATTATTTATTATATCCATATTTATATTTGTTTTATTAAAAACAAGCTTAGATTTGCCCACCTGTCAGGTTTTAGACCATAAAAGGGCACAGCATGTGTTTTAGGATATAACTCAGGTTTTTGAGCACATTTTGCTATTATTATTCATTTATTCGTTGGCTGGAAATTAGAACTGAATTTAGAAATAGTTTTGAAATGAATCTTTGCGCTTAACAAACAAAAGTATTTATTTATAGACTAATTGATGTCTGTGCTTAAAGGTTTCCCTATTCAAGAGCGAATGTGTAAGTAGTTCCATTATCTCTCATTCTCACGCAGTTTTCTGTTAAAAAACTGTTAACTGTTTGCTTGTGAAATGCTCATTTTTTCCAAAGAATTAAATCAGCCTTAGACTTACTTTACGTCTTGTAATTAGCGAATGCACTCTTGACGCGACGCTACTGACTCGTAAAGGGAAAGGGAGATGAGACTCTAATTGGTTTATTCTCAAAACACACCTATAACTCATTAAGAAAATAAACTCAACCCTTTTAGATCATGCACCGTGGCGTAAGGCAGATTTCCCGTCCTTAAATTAGCAAAAACGCGTCCTGACACGCCCTAAAAGCGTTTGCGCCCTGCGCTTTGCGCTCTGCGCATGGACCGCCAAAATAGAGCCCAATGTGTGTGCTTCACTTACATATGGTCTTTTCCACACCACTTTCCAGAGATCGTCCCGCTTCAGAGGCCCCAAACCGATGGATTTGAGCTCTGGTGGGAACAGGTTGTCTCTAAACCTCAGTCTCTCCTTCAGGCAGAACTGCTTCAGCTGCTGGAAGTCCTGATCCAGGAACTTTTCGGGATTATTGGCCAATCCCTGTCCATCTTTGACATTACGCTCCGATAAAATGTTTAAACACACACCAGGGGCTGGCATTGTGGCTCAGATCTGTTGAACACAAACATTGTTTTACAGTACGGTCATTTCTGATGATCTCTACACTACTATGGATCGTATTCAGATCAGATCAAAGAGTATGAGTGCAGAGTTTGCAAAAATATAGTAAAACAAACTGATTTATCTTTATATTGCAACATAGGCTCATTCTGAAAATGTACTCCTGTATACATTTCTGGAGATTGCAAATTACGTAGCCAGAACTACATATGGCTGCATTTCGTCTGTAAATGAATGCAAAAAGGCGGTATGACGCAATTCCTTTTCGCACTTATCAGCTGACCGCTTACCTCCATATAGACGGCTTTCCTGCGGTTACCAGTTTGCCCAGTTGCTTTCCATGTACATCGGTGGGTCTGAGACACAGAGAGGAGTTGACCACAGGGTTTGAGTACAGTGAAAAATGGTTCCAGAAAGCAGGTAAAACAAAAACAGAAGGCAAATAAAATAAACAAGGAAAAAACAGGGTGAGAATGTGGTAAATCTGAAAACGTGATAAAAGTCAGACGAGGGCTTTTCTTTTTCTGGATTGATTTTAAAAACTAGTACATGAAAGGGAGTGATCGGGTCAATCTGTGCTTTTTAAAACACTATCGGTTGGGTTTAGGGGAGGGTGGGTCAGTTGATCTGTCAGTCAGTAAGTCAGTCAGTTAGTGGACAGCGGCCTCTGGTGAATTTACGTGAGAACAGCAGGTGTGAATGGCACTCACGAGAATTTTGAGATCGGAAAAAGTGTACACAGTGGCCTTTGGTGGATTCGCGAAAACAAAAATGGGAAAAACGTAGCTCCTGAGATGTATTTGTCACACTTCAGAAATGAATATAGAGGTAGGTTTTCAGAATGAGCCTGGGTTGTATAGGCACACACCTTGGTATACGTTTCTGGACAGCGCAAAATACATCCCAGGTTTCTTTTTTTTTTTTCGGAGTTTTTGTTTTCATGAATCCACCAAAGGTCGATGTGCACGCTTTTTCAGATCTCAAATTTCTCTCGCAAGTGCCATCCACGCATGCTGTTTTGGTGTAAATCCATCAGAGGCCACTGTAGACTGACTGACTGACCGTTTTCAGATTTTACCACATTCTCATCCTGTTATTCACTTGTTTATTTTATTTTTTGCCTTTCGTATTTGTTTTACATGCTTTGTGGAACCGTTCTTCACCAGACCTGAACCCCGTGGTCACCGTTGACTCCTGTTTGCGTCTTAAGTCTGCCAACGTATGCAACAAGCCACTGGATAAACTGATAAAAGCAAAAAGCCGTTCGCACTGAGGTAAGCGGTCACCTGTTAGCATGAAAAGATAGAGAAGCCGATGGCGGTGTCATACCACCATGTAGCATTCATTTTAAAGAATGGCTCTGGCTACATTATTCGCTCTCTCCAGAAATGTATAGGGGGGTACAGAATACGGATTCACAATGAGTCGTTGTTGTTGGTTAATGTACATTGTAAAAAATATTGATTATTTAACTGATTCCACATACTGTATTGTGATTCACAGGTTTTCCCATCTATTTACAGTTATGAATAGTGAGACCTTTATCTTTGTTGACTTTTGATGTAAAAAAATAAACAATTTAATTTTTGTTCTGTAATTTACAACAGCAACTTAGACAATAGATCAGTTCAAATGATTAAAAGTAAAAATAAGACACTTTTTAACTTTTCAGCATCAAAAAGGTTCCATTTTGTCATTCATAAGCAGAAAAAATGACAAAAGACATAAATAGAAAATGCATAGCTTTTTTAATTAATCACAACAAAAAAGTTTGTTTTGACAATTTAAGTATATATATATATATATATATATATATATATATATATATATATATATATATATATATATATATATATATATATATAGGGCTTTACATTAACACTGCCAACCCACTAAATGCGGGTAGATTTCAGCTTTGGCGGGTTAGACAGTCAATCCCATTAGCCACTTTGGCTGGTTGAAAATAATTTTTAAATTGTGGTTTTCTTAAAAGCAGGGTTCGACTATAAGAATGACCCAATATGCGTACAAATGTGATCTTAGAATGGAGAAACAGCACGAATAACAAAAAATTGCATTCGCGCGAGCAGAAAACAGATGAATAGCTATTATAATAATAGTTATTTTTGCTTATATGGTTTAATTATCTTTTTTTTTGTTTAACAACATTTGCTTTAATATGAGTTTAACTCTCCATTTGTGTAGTCATCTGGTGATCTGAGAGACCTTTAGCGAGGACAGATTACTCTGAATATTTTTGATACAAGACAGTAATTATTTTTCAAAGTCAATTGTTTTTCTTTGTTTTGTTTTTTTAAAAAAGAAAGGTTTAGTTAAAACAAAAGTATAGTATACAGCTATATTTAGCTTGTTTGACACATTTAAAATTTGTGGCAAAGAAATAATTATTGTTTGGAGTGGTCAGAGATTAGGTAAATCCTTCATTTTGAGTTCTGAAAAGTGATGTGAAATCAAAACTAATTGCACACTATGAAACCATGACCCATTTGCTCATACGCGACACACAAAATGTGAAATGAATGAGAAGGCATGTGGACATAACACAAAATCTAAATCAAGTAATTTTAGCATGTCAAAGTCATATTTATGCATATAAAAATATTTTCCCAACAAAAAAATTGTGGCTAGTGAAAATGCAGAGTGGCTAGTAACGTTGGAAAACTACTAGCCACTGTGGCTGGTGATCAAAAAAGTTAATGTAAAGCCCTGTGTATATATATATATATATATATATATATATATATATATATATATATATATATATATATATATATATATATATATATATATATATATATATATATACACCCTTCAATTTTTTTTCTTTCAAATATCTCTTAAACAATGTTTAACAGAGCAAGGAAATTTTCATAGTATGTCTGATAATAATTTTCTTCAGGAAAAAATCTTATTTGTTTTATTTTGGCTAGAATAAAAGCAGTTTTTAAAAATTTTAGTTTTAAAAACTTCTAAATTATTGGCCTCTTTAAGATATTTTTTTAGATAGTCTACAGAAGAAACCATCGTTATACAATAACTTGCCTAATTACCCTAACCTGCCTAGTTAACCTAATTAACCTAGTTAAGCCTTTAAATGTCATTCATTCATTATCTTTTCGAATTAATCCCTTTATTAATCAGGGGTCGCCAAAGCGGAATGAACCGGCAACTTATCCAGCATATGTTTTATGCAGCGGATGCCCTTCCAGCTGCAACCATCACTGGGAAACATCCATACACACTCATTCACACACATACACAACAGACAATTCAGCTTACCCAATTCACCTGTACCACATGTCTTTGGACTTGTGGGGGAAACCAGAGCACCCGGAGGAAACCCATGCAAACGCAGGGAGAACATGCAAACTGACTCAAAAATTGGCAACTGACCCAGCCGAGGCTCGAATCAGTGACCTTCTTGCCATGAGGCGTAAGCACTACCCACTACGCCACCACGTCACTCATATATATATATATATATATATATATATATATATATATATATATATATATATATATATATATATATATATATATATATGAAGTTTTGTATCTATGTATATGTGTAGCAAATTTACACACTATATATTTACAATACACACATATATGTGCAATTAATCTCATATAGACATATACATTATATTCAATTAATCGTGATCTTTGTCCAGCACTAATTACAATCCAAAGTTGTGCTTGTTAACATTAGTTCATTCACTGTGAATTCATAAAATCCAACAAGAACAATTTAATTTCATTAACATTAACAAAGATGATTGAATACTGTAGTAAAGGTATTATTCATTGTTTGTTTATTTTAGTAAATAAATTAACAAATCCTTATTGTAGCATTTCTACTTCAGTTAAAAAAAAACGCAGATTTGCATGAAAAGCCTGCCTATGAGTGCATGTAAATGACTGAACTACAGCACAGCTCTGAACAACATTTGCATGTCAGTTGAACTCTAATATATGAGAATTTCAATGGATAAAAAGCTGCCAACAACATGACATGAATAACAAAACCTACCTTTCGTCTGTAGCGCAGCTGAAAGATTACGCCGTCCTCCACAAAGCACAGAGCAAGAGGAGGTTTGTGGCTTTTCAAAGTCTGACTCCACCTGCAGATCCAGGTGTGACGCAACTTTATGACTCTCAGGTCAATATTTAAATACAGCGCAAATGTCATTATTTATGAGCCGAGCCTTCTACTGTAGCAGGATTCAGGCCAAAATACATGGATTGACACATTACTGTTTTACACAGTAAATATTGAGAGATATAACTACTGATTTAATGCTTGTAAAAAAATAAAATAAACATGAGGTTTGCAAACATTACAAATCTTTTTTTTTTTTTAGTTTGTTCAGTCTAAATGTATGGAACGACTCCGTAACGTGCCGGAACGACTGTCTTTGGCATTGGTCTCATTAACCCGCCCAATGTCAGTTTAGCCGTGAAAAGTACCCGTAAAGGTTTAAATCAAGTGTGGGTAATTGATATCAGAAGTTTAATTTCTGGGTGAACTAAGCTCTAACATATTACAGTTTTTCTCAGTGGCTTTGGTGCATTTCTCACAACACTATTTACATTTGCACAATAGGTCATGCATTTCTTAAAACAGTTAGTCATTTGTGCACATCCTAGTAGGAGTTTCTCATTCCTTTCAACAAATTGCAAATGCTTTCGGACATGCATCAATTGCTTTCATTCAACTCTCTGCAATTTATAACATTATCATTTGCTTATGTCATGTCAGTCAAAATGAACTAAACTTGTAAATGCTGAATAGTCAATCCATATAAAACTAACAGTCCTTATTTCATTACTCGAGTCATTGCATACAAAAATGTTGAACGTGATGTCAAATCGGTCAAGCAAACTTTATAAAATAAATGTAAATCTTTATTTTCCTGAAAATGTCTTTAGAATTGAACAATTTGATGAATGATTTACAGACCTGTGTATGTTGCAGGTTCAGTTCCGATATGTACTGCAATATTGTTTACAGTTGTGCACAGCTCAACCCAAAGGGAGTTTATGTTTGTTGTAAATAAGGGTGTGTTTATACTTTTGCATAATGCTGTGAATAAATTAGGATCAAATGCAGAGTAAAAATGTGAAACATACATATTCAGTGTCTTGTACTCAGATAACTCACTAAATGCAGTGATGTCCAACTTTACTGTAGTTTTCAAATGGCTGTGCAAATAGTCTATAGTGCTGTCTTGAGCATTTTCAGCAAGTGTCACCAACATCTGACTTTTTTGCATTGAAAAAACGTACAGAGTAAACTCATATTGAAAACATGACAAAGCCATTTGACTATCTTGTTTATAAACAATGGTGTCAGGACTCTTCATTTTGATGACACTGACACTTTGATTGACATGAATACTTGCTTTTGAGGAATGAACTATCCATTTTGAGCATGTGATGCGCTTTTGCAGGTTATCAGCTAGGTTTTGCAGTTTGCACTAACTGTTGTGAGAAATGCACCAAAGCGACTGAGAAAAACTGTAATAATACAAACTCTTACTCAGTAATGCTTTCTGTCTTTGAATAGACTGTCAGAAGAAAAGATGAGACTGGGAAGTTGAGGGAACAATAAGATAGTCATCTGCTTTAAATCTGATAATCTCCATCACGTCCTGAGCATTGAAAAAAGGTTTGGTTTTTCCATTTGGATTGGTTCTAAGGAATGAGGAACTTAAGGGACAATTTTTTCTTCCATTTCCTTAACTGCTGAATAAGCAAAACCATTGATTATTCCGTCCAAAAATTAACCAAATGAAAAGGAAACATGTTCAACAACATATATAGTTGAAGTTGCAGCTCAAGTAAAAGTTGTAGTTGAAGCTGCAGATAGTCTGTTTAACTGTTTTCTTGCAAGTGAAATGCTCAGTTTTCCACTTACAAAGTCGCCATGTAAATAGCAAATGCGCCATGGAGCGACGCAACTGACTCTTAAAGGGAATGGGAGATGAGACTCTGATTGGTTTATTTTCAAAACACACCCAGAACTCATTAAGAGAATAAGCTCAACCCTGTTAGACCATTTGCTGCGGTGCAAATCGTATTTTTCCGTCGTTAAAATAGCAAAAGCGGATTCGGACACGCCCTCAATGCTTTTGCGCCCTGCGCTTTGGACTTTGCGCCTAGATTGTCAAAATAGAGCCCTAAGTTTTATGATGTACGAGCATCTCTTAAAGGGATAGTTAACCCAAAAAATGCAAATGTTCACATAATTTACACACCCTCAAGTGGTTTTAAACTTGTTTTGAGTTTCTTTCTTCTGGTAAACACCAAAAAGGAGATATTTAAAAAAAAGCTGAAACTATTGACTTAATCTGATATTTTTTTCTTCGAGAGAAAGTCTTATTTGTTTTATTTCCGATAGAATAAAAACTTTACAAATAAAATAAGAATAAAAGTTTTTAATTTTTAAAAAACATTTTTAGGTCAAAATTATTAGCCCATTGTTAGCCCATATTACATTTTTTTTTTCGATAGTCTACAGAACAAACCATTGTTATATAGGGATGTAACAATATTGTGAATACCGTCATACCGCAATAGTAATTTTTTTTCAATATTACCGTAGGCGCATGACTCAATAAATCTATATTTCTGAGAAAAGTTTGCTCAGGCGAATGAAGCGAACGGGAGGTAGCGGGAACTACAATTCCCATCAGCCCAGGCGTGGCCATCATCCTTTGCGGTCTGTTGTTACTACAGATCCAGTAATGTGGAAATGGAGTGTGCTGCTAGTAGCGGGGAAGAAACCTGACCTAAAATGATCGAACCTAAAGCGGGTTTTAAATCGGATCTGTGGAAGCATTTCGGTTTCTTTCTAAAAAGATATGAAAAAGGAGAAAAGGTGACAGACAAAGAAAAAAACAGCATGCAGGCACTGCCAGACTGTGGTGAAATACAAGTCGGGGAATACGACTAAAAACAGTCATGGGGACTGCAGAACACAGCACACTGTTCAGATTGATGCAGACATTGACTTGTAAAGAGACCTCTATCTGTAAAGAGACTCGCAAAGAGACCTCTATCTCACTCATGGCTGGTCCTCTCAAGTGGTGGAAAGACAATGCACAGCGTTACCCACTGCTGTCAACCTTGGCTAAATCACATCTCTCTGTCACAGAAACCTCAGTCCCAAATGAGAGGGTTTTTTCTGTTGCAGTGGACATGCCCAGAGATCCCAGCTTTCACCAGATTATAGTTATATGATCATTTTCCTTAAAAAACCCATCTCTATCTTAGTGGGTGATTAAATGTTGAATGTGAGGAGTTTTCAGCAATACTAAATTGAAACTTAATTTTTTTATATGGTTTAATAGTTTTTTGTTATTAAAATTGAAGTTCCTGTTTCGAAACCTACAGATAGATGGCTAATTTGTTTGTCATTGATATGTTCAGTGCTAAGGTAAATAAACACTTTTGGCACTTTTTTCGAGTCTTTTCATTAGTTTTGTTTTTCCTAAAAATTATTCAAAAAATACCGCACCGTGCCATTCATACCGAGGTATTATCGCACCGTGAAATTCTGATACCGTTACATCCCTATTGTTATACAATAACTTGCCTATATACCCTAACCTGCCTAGTTAACCTAATTAACCTAGTTAAGCCTCTAAGTGTCACTTTAAGCTGTATAGAAGTGTCTTGAAAAATATCTAGTCAAATATTATGGGCTGTCATTTTGGCAAAGATAAAATAATTAGTTCACAATAATTGGTTATTAGAGTTATTAAAACTGTTATGTTTAGAAAAAAATAATCTTTTCTTTGTTAAACAGAAATTGGGAAAAAAATAAACGAGGGCTAATAATTCTGACTTCAACTATACATATGTATATATAAATAAATATATATACTATGGAAATCGCCTCACAGTAAAAAGGTCGTTGGTTTAAGTCCCGGCTGGGTCAGAAGGCAATTCTCTGTGGAGTTTACATAATGGCAGAACAGAGGTTTACTCAAACACAGGCAGAATTTCAATACAAACACAATGGTTCAGGAACTGCAGACTAAAGAGGACATACACTAAAAAAAAAAGGAAACTACAGCACATACAGATCTAAAAATAAATATAAAAACTATTTTATTATTATTATTTTGCTCATTTGCACCTTGAAACTTTCACATCTGTGTTTAAAACCTTTAAGTCAGTTTGTGTTTGTAGACGTCTGCACTCAAAGTGTACCAGAATGTGTTCAAATATTACATTCTGAAGCAGAAAAATCAACCTAGTGTTCAGAAACTTATTTTATTTCATCTAGTTTAAAATAAATCAGCTCTAGTTTTCAACTTAGATTTACTAGATGTAGCCTACTAAAATACAAACTAAATAAAATGCATAAAACAATAATGAACAGACATACTGCTAAAAAATAATTGGAATGACACACTCTAAAAAAATCTGTGTTAATAACATTTTACATAATAAAAAATGACTTACTGATTGTAATAGATTGTAATAATACGTACAGTTACATGAAGTCAAATACTGTAATAATCCAGTTTGCTGATGAAATAGTTTTTGGCCAGTAGATGGAGCTGTGAGAAAAGCTAATAAAGTCTGAATAATAATGGATCTCCCCCAGAATATAATGTACTAAAAGCTATTTTTAATTGAATCCCCTCTCTTATTTGCAATATTAACACTGCAATATTTCTGCACAAATGAACAGAGCTCTAAAATATGATGTTTTGACAAGGACATAAATAAATAAATAAATAAATAAATAAATAAATAAATAAATAAATAAATAAAATAAGTGAATGAATAAATAAATAAAAATAACTAAACAAATTAAAATAATTTAATAAAAAAAAACGAATAAATTAACAAACATCTACAAACAACTGCTCTTTTCTATTTCATCAACTTACACCTATACTACTTATACATACAACTTGTATAGCTACAACTTAAATCTCAATTTGGGATATTATTTAAATTACATTCGACAAAATATAAAGTCTAGGTTGTTTGGGTTAACTAGACTAGTTAGGATAATTAGGCAAGTTAAATATCAGTGATTTGTTTTGTAAACAATCAGATTAAATAAATAAGTAGTAATTGAGGGGGCTAATATAAAAATA